TTGTTTTATTATTTCCCATTGGAAAGCTGTGAAATGAAAATGATGCAATCTACTGCTGTGAAATAATGTCGTGCTCGAGTCCTTTTCCAATAAGCCCCGAGGTTTGCACTGTGACGGCTTCATTAAATTAGCCGGCTCCATGGCAAATGAAAAAGCGCTCGGAGCTTTCGATTTTGTTAATCTGGGTTGGGCTGCCTGAGACCTTAGACCACCAGGGAGCTCGGGAGGTTGGCTCTGCGTGCTGGGTAGACGAGGCTTCCACCCGCCGTCTGCAGTCCCGGAGGCCACCGCGTGCGCACAGGCTCGACCTCTGCCGTAACCCGCAAACCTTCACTGTGCTCCCCAGCACGCCAGATGCTGCCCGAGGTGTTGTCACACGCCAAAGGAACAAAGAGGTCTCTCCGGGGACACAGTGGACAACAGCTCAGAGTACGGAGTGGGGGAAGGGAGGGTGTTTAACTCTCCTGCGGGTCAGCTAAGGTGGATGGCAGATGAAAGGTGAGGCCAGCCAGGACTCAGGTTGCCAGGTGCCAGAGAACCTGCCCCAGACGCTTGCAGATGAGACGTGAATGCATCACCATCCCTCAGAGTTTATGAAAACAGATCCTCTCTTGCTGGGCTCCACTGCAGTATTAAAGATTTCCATTACTGATAGCTCTTTCCAGTTAGCACTTTCAGTATTAAACTCTGTCATTACAAAGTAAAATATGCATGATCTCTAAATCTATGTATATTATAACGAGGTTTCATTGTTATAAATTTGTCTTCTCGGTCCTACATTTCTGCCTTTGCTGTCTTTTTAAAACTGTAATGTCTGATAGCTGTAGCCAGGGGGTAATTAGGAAATGGTACTAAAGAATCACAGGCTTATTCCCTCACTTATTCATGGAAATGTGTTGGGTGTCTATACTAAGATATGGGCCCACAGCAGGTGGGAAAGACAGTGGTGACAGCCAATTACAGCACTACGGAATTTTGGTCCGAGCTGGCATGGAAGCTCCCTTCCCCCCGACATATAAATATTGTATAAAACATAATAAAACAACTTGACATCACAGCTGCATGCAGAAGGATGGAAGGACAAATTCCAGATTTTAAAAACAAGTGGGAATTCAAAGCCGGAGTTGTGGCCAGATGTGTGCGATCCCGGCTGGGCTTCTAACGCCCGTGCAGAGGCAGACACTGAAGACCAGCCTCGCGGGTGGCTGCGGCCGGCGGTGGGACCCAACGCAGGGCTGGGTGCTTAGAAGGGCCAGACGATCCCCACCCAGCTAGGTAAGTGGTGATGGCATGAAAGCAAGAAGACAATTTGGGTGGAGAAAGATCATCTGCAAAAGATCAAAATCCAAACTTGTGCCAAGCACAGACGCAGGGTCTAAATTGGTATCATCGTCCCACAGTGTGGGAAGCACAAATGGGGAAATTAATGTACAAATTGGTTTGAAATCAACGGAACCCAGCAGAGACAAACTCGAACCCTCCCTGAGGCATGCATGCCTCCGTAACCAGGGGGCCCAGAGGAAATAACTACCGCGGAAGAGGAGCTCACACACAGAAATTACACGGCACGTAAGAGAACGAAGGGAGCGAGTCTCAGATTCAATATGGCACCCGGCCGGGCCACCCATGCTGGCCCCAGAATGACCTAAAAACTCCCATTTCCACCCATTCAACACCGTCATCACTCCAACTCTCATCCAGACACTAGAGAGCGCCCGGAGCCCCTGCCTCTCTCCTTTCCACACATGTGCACTCACATATATGTATAAATTTTCCTTCATGTAATGTGTACGTTACACCATTAAGATACATAGGAGCCCATACTGTTCACATCAGTTCCCATGAGCCAGTTGTGCTCCCTGGGTGGTGACTGTTTAAGCTCAGTTTGGAGTCTAAGTCTTGTGAGCCCTAGAAATTTGAAGAGTATGGGTTCTTTTTGTTTTCATAGGTCAATGTCATTTGAAAGTCTTTCACTTTCACCCACAGCTACGGGAGGCCTCCTGAGCTACGTACTCTAGGTTATGAAAATTCAAACTCAGTGAATAGAGTTAACTGAGGCCAATAACTCAGCATCCATCAGAGAAACCCTGACCACCAGGTCACACTCGTTTGGCTGTGCGTGTGCAGGTCATAGGTGTCCCACACTGGAGCAGGTCGCTGTCCTATCAGGATATCATTAACTTTGTCTTGGATTGGTTGAGGGTTCAAATAGCTACTTTTAAGTCACAAATTACTCTTGCTTCATCATCACCAGCTTAGTGGACAGAGGACATGTGGATAACTACACAGTTGTAGTGACTTCTGTTTGCATCATCAGAGTTTTTAACCTGTATTTTCCACTGGGGAGGCCTTCGGATACATGGCCCTGTACCTGAAACTAATCCAATGTTACAGGTCAATTATACTTCAGTAAATACAAGAACAGATGCACGCCCAGCAGCTGCATGTCAGCCATCCTTATCTCCACTAACAGGTGACCCTCCACGTCCTTTGCAGCCCCGAGTCCTTCTCTAGCAAGTGGGAAGTGGTGGGATGGGCGAGTGTTTGTTCTCCTGCCACATGGAAAGCAGCCGAGATTTTCAAAAAGGCCCCTCGGGGCAGAGCATCCACTCCTGTTTCCCCATTTCCTCGGATGTTTGAGACAGACCTACAGCCACCTGCACGTTGTGACTTTTGGGGGGTAGTAAAAAGTAAGTAGAGTCACGTCGTCTTGGGCAAGGATAGTTGTTTCAATCATCCGTTTAGGAAAACATTCACTGTGCGCTTCATGTGCCCAGCCCAGGGCTGGCAATGAAGCAAGACAAGAGACAGCTGTCCCGCCACCGGGGAACCCAGGGACAGGCGCATACACAGAGGGAGACAAGGGGACCGATGGGGACAAGGCCAGCTCCTTTAGTTATTTTAGTGCAGTGACTGACTCCGCTGCTTAGGGAAAAGGGTGCTGATGCCCCTTCTGTTCTTTCTTCTTAGCAAGACTGGCTTGAAGTCTGTGGACACACAGCTTAAAGGGACATGAGAATGTCTCCTTCAGATGTCTTTATTCCAGGGCCTCCCCTCCTTTTCACAGTGGGGACTGAATGGTTCCTCAAAGAGCCCAATCATAACTAAGACAAGAGGAAGACTGTGCGACCAAATACAGCCACATCCACCGTCGGCCACAGTCATGCATTTTATTGGGTCGGCCAAAAAATTCATTTGTTTTTTTTTACGTAACATAGCTCTAGTAGTGCTTAGTTGTCTTGAATTTCATTCCAAATAATTTTGTTCGATTGTATGGTGACAGCTGTCATATGAGTGAGCATGCATTTAAAAAAGTTATCAAAATTGGTGAATTTTTGTGCCGCCATTTTCATACTGAAGATGGAAGAAAATACGCAATGTTTTCGGCATATTATGCTTTATTATTTCAAGAAAGGTAAAAATGCAACTGAAATGCAAAAACACAGATTTGTGCAGTGTACGGAGAAGGCGCTGTGGCTGATCGAACCTGTCTAAAGTGGTTTGTGAAGTTTTGTGCCGGAGCTTTCTCACTGGATGATGTTCCACAGTTGGGTAGACCAGCTGAAGTTGATAGCGATCAAATCAAGACATTTAATTGAGAAACAATCAATGTTATACCACGTAGGGGATAGTCAATATACTCAAAATATCCAAATCAATAAAGTTATTGGTGAAAATGAAAAATATCTTTTATTTTACAGAGAAAACTAAACAGGCTTTTTGGCCAACCCTATATGCTGTGAACCTGCACAACTGCCAGCCACGGATGATTTTCTGGATGAAGGGGAGAGGGACACCTGTCCAGGGCATCACAGTTACTGTGGCAGACGGACTCTACAAGGGTTCTAGGGGCCCCTACCTCCCGGCATCAGCTCTCATGTGACCCTCTGCCCTTGTGTGTGGGCTGGGCCTACTGACTTGCTTCTCTTGAGTAGAAGGTGGGAAAAGTGATGGGGAAGGACTTGTGAGATCAGGTTATAAAAGATCCGGGCCTCCCTGGCTTGCTTGCTTTGGTGAAACAGGCTGCTGCGTTGAAGAGACCTACGTAGCAAGGAACAGAGGGAAGCTGCTGACCAACAGCCCCCGAGGAACCGAATCCTGCCAAGCACCGCTGGGTGAACTCAGAACAGATCCCCCTGTTGCACCTTGAGATGGCTGCAGCCCCAGCCAACTCCTGGATTGTAGCCTCTTAAGGCACCCCGGAGCAGGGCACCCAGTGAGGCTGCGCCTCGATTTTTGCCTCATAGAAACCAAGGGAGAATAAATGTGTGTTGCTTTAAGCAGCTAAGCTTTGTGGTACTTTGTTACTTAGCAATAGGTAACTAAGACGGTAACTAATCCGTGCGTGGTTACCTTACCTCGGCTGAGAATGTGCAGGCAGGTTTGGGGAACTTTTGAACAACACAGATTGGTTCTTCTCTTAAACTCTAGTTATGAATGGACACCCACTGGACCTAGAGCATGCAGGGAATTGATGATGGTAGGAAATTCTTTACACTACTGGCCACTGACAAGAGGGCCATAAGGGCCCACACAGCCACCCATCTAGGGCAGTAACTCAAACCAGGGAAGGGTGTTGGAATCAGCTGAGCCTGGACCCCACCCTGGACCCACTGAAGGGGGAGCCCCCTCTGGGCAGAACCCAGAGCCCCTTGAACAGGTAAAATTCCCCAGACGACACACACAGACCATGTATCCCGGGGTAAGGACCACTGATGAGCACCTACACCCCAAGTTGACATAACAGGAAATGAAGGGCCAGAGAAGTGACAGGTCTTTCTAGGGTCACACAGCACATTGGTGGCAGCCAAGGTCTCCTACCTCCGTTCTCTCCTTCATCCAGCTGCCACAAGGCCCCCAAGGCCCCACAGCCCCTAGGTATCCACTCAGTGGAGAACTTGACCCAGCCCTGAGCTAATCCAAGTAGAAGCAAAGTAAGAGGCACACGGAAAACTTCTTAAGTTTCTTTATTTGTTTAGAAAACAACCAACCTCCACTCTTTAACTTTCAATTCAGCCCTGGCCTAGTGAGTGACTTTTCTCTCCAGCTTCTCATGTAAGCAAGGGAAAAACACGAACGCTTCCCATTAGATCTGTCTCCAGACACAAATCAGGGGCAGATCAGGCTGGGACTGGAGCTTCATGGCCTTGAGAAGAGGCGGGGTGTGCCTGGGAGCTCCACTTGGCTTGTAACTTTTCCTCCATCCTCCCTGAGACAGCCGCTCCTGCCCTGGGGGGCTCTGCCTCCACCTCCCAGGTCAGGGCATCTGCAACAGTCACGGGCGGCTCGCAGCCTGAGTTCCAGTCTGCTCTCCTCCGGGGACACGCTGCCCCACAGTCCCCGCTGGTTCCCGCATGGGTCCTCACGAGCTCATCATGTCCCAGTGCTGGCTCATGAGTGAGGACTCACACAGGTTGACCACGATTTCCCTGTTGTTGTCTGTGCCATCACCAAATGTGTCTGTGTCTAGGCAGAGGTGAGACGCCACGTGCTCGATGCGGGAGCCGGTCCTGGTCCACTGCTGAGAAGACGGAGAGGAGAGAGGATGAACCAGATTCTCTGGCCAAGGCCAGGTCCTAGCAATAACACCAGGAGGTCCGGCGGAATCAGAAACGTTTAACCACATGGCTAGAGTCCCCTTGAGACTCGACTTCATGGTCCCATGGAGAAATAAAACTGCAACTAATTGCTTTACCAGGTATTGTTGTTTTTCTTTTTTTAATCAGATTTTTTTAAAAGTAAAAGCAAAATCAATACGTTTGCTAGGAAAACTCATTAGAAGGGAATAACCTTCCAAGCAATAGGCCAGAAAATGTGAAGCGAGTTAGTCACAGAAGCAACCAAAGAAATGATCCACCTTCAGTGTCTGCATGGCCTCGAAGGGTGGGAGTGAGTGAGCTGGAGGATGGCGACGCAAGAGGGGTGGGGGTGGGTGGGCCTCCTGGGCAGCACGTAAACCTCCGCTCCTCCAAAGTGCTTCAGCACATGGGGGGCCCGAGCAGAGAGTGGAGGGGGGCGCATCTCATGCTGCTGCTTCCCAGAGGTCACCTTGCATGACAAGTAGGGCGGGAATGGACATGTGTTGGGGAATCACCACTGACTATGGGCCATGGGCCATGTCAGTTAATTTCTGTAAACAGCTACCCTATGTGGTTGGGCACCATGGGCTCCATTTCCTAGAAGAAGGAGCTGAGGCTCAGAGAGATCCAATAAGCTGCCATGGGTCACACAGCCAGTGAGACACAAATGGGCATTTGAATCTCAGTTTCCCTAATGCCAGTAAGCAACTGGCAGGGAATTGGGTGGAGCCAGTACCTTGCTGCTGGAGGAATGGAACAGGTGGTGTACCCAGAATACTATGAGCTTGGTGGACATCCTGCCACAGCCCAAGGCTCCTGAAGGCAAAGGTTTGAGCCTTGCTCAGCCTTGTGGTCCCAAGGCTTTGTCCCAGTCCTTTCCTGCTCTGGGATCCCAGGTGGGACTCGGGGCAAGACATGATAGTACAAGATACACACACACAGTGGGGTCTGACGAGGTCAGTAGGCTTCCGTGTGGCAAGCTGACCACCGCTGCTGGCTGGCCTCAGGGAGGGTATCAGAGGCAGCACTCCACCCCTGTCCTAACCATAAGGACCTCTTTCTTATCAACACTCCTCTTCTATAGGTTCTCTCTTTTCCTGTGTAAGAGATTCAGACCTACACAGGCCGTCACATTATTGTAGGCAGCCACGCCCCAGGGCACACCCACTCTGCACTTACCTGTTTGTCATCTCCATTCTTGCAAAGGACAAGAACCACTGGGGCACCAGGGAAAAAGGTGATGACTGACAGGCACAGCTCCTCCTGGAGGATCTGCTGGGTGTATGTGAAGGCCCAGATCTGGAGGGGCAGAGGCCAGGAAGGGTCACATTAGGATCCTTGGGAGAAGCCACCACTGGTGGGACACTCCTGTGCTCATGTGTGATAACATAACACAGCTTGGTAAAACGCACTGGGGGTGGGGCTAGCAGAAATCATTTGTCAACAAGCATCAACTGGAAAATGCTACTTGGTCAAGCTCCCACTGCAGTCTCTGTCCCCACACCCCATAATGGGGACTGGCCTGGGGCATGCAGGCCACCTCTGCGGGGAGCTGAGCAACACCCCTGGCAAGTTGCGTGGTCTCTGATTTGTGTTTTGGTAGGTGTCTGTTCTCCACACTTGACGTTTCTAGCAGCTACCTGGCAGGTTGCACCCTTCAGCTGTCTTTAGAATGTCCCTTCTTCTCTGAAAAGGAGTCTAAATCAGTGTTGTGAGAACATGAGAGTTATGACAAGAGGCAGACAGAGGGACAAAGTGTCCCGAGGGAGCTAGTGGAAGAGGAGTATAGAGGGAGGGAGGAAAGACATGAGAACTACAATTATTCTGGAGGGCGCATGCGCGCCAGCATTCCCGGCAGCATAGATCACTTGGCCCCCGAGGGCCAGCAGGGAGGGAAGCTGAGAAGCTGGATGGACAAGCAGAGTCCTGACGACAAAGGGAAAGGGGCTTTCTGTGAGGTTCATTAGGAAGCACGCTCCTCAGTATTTCCTCCAAAGTGCCAGAGATCGGAATGCAACTGACTGCTGAAAAAGCCACATCCTTTCTAGTTCTTTCATCAAGGGGTAAAAGCACTGGCATAATAATATCAAAACATGAACCTCCCAGAGGTGTTGCCCAGGCTGGAAAATGGGGAGATTTGCCCTTTGCCTTTATCATGGGGTAAAGAGGACAATCTCTTCACCTTCACTTCACCCTCGCCAACCAGATGACCTTCAGCCTCTAGACCACGCCCCTCAATGGCCACTTCTCCTTGGCCAAAGAATGAAAAAAAGGGTCCTTAGCCAGCCAGTCTGCACACTAGGAACCTGTGGCTCATAAGCTGATACAGTGCTTACCTGCCTCTTGCTCTCCACCTTCCCTAGCTCGTGGCAGCCACCTCCTGGCCCTGGTTCTCTCCCAGCCTCCACTGTCTGCTAACGTCTTCAATGCCTTCTGTGACTTGGCTTGTTCCTCTCCCTTCCCACAGGCTTGGGGCCTTTTGCCGTCCCTACAGGATGCTGGCTGCTGCCTCTCCTGATCTGGGACCTTCCTTTGTCTCTCACACCTGGATGGGGCCACCGGCCCAGTGGGAACCTCTGTCCCCAAGGATTGGGGTATGCCTGTGAATTCTCTTGTCCCTTCTTAAGTTGCTGGTGTTGGGAGAAGACCCAGACCAGAAAGTACTCCCTGGGAAGTGAATGGAGATGTAGATGAAAAATGACAGGCCATGAGTTGAGAAAACTTGGGGCCTGGGGCTTCTTACACTCCTCCATCTACTTCCAGATCTATATATGTTTGAATTTTTCTCCTAGTAAAACCTTGTGAAATGTACTCCCTGGGACAGATCAAGTTCCCCCCCGGCCTGTGTATGTCACCATTCCACACATGCCTGCCTTCCTCTAGGATAAGCTGAAAGGGAGAAGATGTCTGTATGCACAGAGGCGATGCAGAGCCAAGATGAGACTGCCAGTAATGGCTAGTGCTTGTGGAGCCCTTATTGTGCGCCAGGACTGTTCTGGGTGCTTTACACAGATGCATAGGTTCCTCATGAAGATCGGACTAGATTGCTATTATTATCCCCATTTTACAGATGGTGAAAGTAAGGCCCAGAGAGGGTATCCAGAGCCACGTCCTCATAAGCGTCCCCTGCACACACTCTTTCCATCAGCTCTGCTATTGCTGCTGCCAGAGTCACGGCTGGTTCTAGAACCCTTTCATTCGTTGAATTATGGAACATGTCTGTCCCTGAGATCCTCTCCCAGGTTGTAAATATTAAAGCTATAAATCAGCTCCACTTTGACAGAAGAGAGCTGGCAAGAAATTCTCCTTCTTGGCCACTTCCCAATGGCAACCCCCATGAGCAGGGAAACAGAGGTCACACCCACTGTCAGGGCTGGGCAGGGGGAAGACCAGAGAGGGGGCCCCTTCCCTATCATTGGTGGGAACCGGGCATGTAGGAATGGAGGCCACACTCAGGGGACTCCACACCAGACCAGGGGACTCACGGAGCTCTGGCTTCCAGCCTGCACTGCCCTCTTTTCTTCCCACCCTGGCCCTGTCCCCCATGGTGACCTCCATGCCTGCATGTCCAGGCTTGGCCACACCCCTCTCCATGGTCTCCCTTGGGCCTGGGGGTGTGTGCTGGGGACACACTGCACCTCGGGAAGGCCACCCCAGAGGAGACACCCACACACGTCCCGAAATCAGACTTGGACTACTTGGGTGAGGGATTTGGGATCCCACCTTTATCATAAAGGTGGGAGAAGAGCCCGGATTTCGTGTGGAGAATTCCCTGCTCTGTTGTGAAAGGAAGAAAGGCCCAGCTTCAAGGGCAAGGCTACCAGGGAGCCATGGACCCAGGCCTACCCCCCCCCCCACCCCGACAGCTGGCAGTGAACTGTGCCTCAGCAATTTACCTATCACCCTGCAATTATCTTATCACCACCCTAACCTGGCTTTCTACTTTTACATGAGGAGCATTAACTGGTTCGACAACAACAACAACAACTTTAAAAATATACCATAATCTCTGATTTTCAACTGGTGTGTCACAAGAATTTTTAAGACATGCAACACCTGACTATTTAGTCAGGGGCACTGACCTCTTTTCCCTTATATTGTCAAATTTAAAAAATCGCAACACCAACACAACAATAGCCGTCTGGTGTGAATGCTCTGTCTTCAACCCTGGAGTCATATCTTATTGGTCACATAGCATAATAAGGCTGCATCTGATTGGTTAATTCTTGGTACCAGTAATCCTTGTATAAAAGTATAGGCACCTGATTTCTTAAAAAGTCACTTTGGAGCAGAAAGGACAGGTCATTACTATTATTTTTGTAAATCAATCAAAATTATACCTATTTTTGTCCGATTGTCAAAAAATATATTTTTTGGTGTGCTGTAGAATTTTAGTAATTAGTTTGTGCCATGAGATGAAAAGAATTGAAAACCAAGTGGCTCTAACCAAGTGGCTTTGAGAACTGGAAGTGCAGGGGATGGTGTTGGGGGCATGTGGAGAGGGAGGCTCTCTGACATCTGAGCCACCCCATCCACAAATGCCTTTTGGGAAGGAATACACAGGATCCACTCCTGGGGCTGGTGTCTGAGGAAACCACCCCAAGACCCCCAAGGGTCTTGCACAGATAGGGACTGAAGTCTTTTCACTAAATGGATTTTCCATTAGCTGGTGCTTTACTGGCACTGAAATAATTCGGCCTCTCAGTTTCCCAGAGGAGCACGGCTCGATGGCCACATCCGCGGGAGAGGAGGCTGGGGAGCAGAACACAGGAGCGGGCACAGGAGCAGCGGAGGGGCTTTCCAACTCCCACCCTGCAGCTGGTCAGACTTCCCCGGAATGGCCGGTGATGAATATGTTTATGAAACAAATCCCGGAGTCAGAAATGGATTTAGGAGGGCAGCAGTGGTTGCTCAGACTGGCCTGGACCCAGTTGGTAAGTGCTGGGCCCCTGCTGATGGTCCCATCAGGGGGACTAGCTAATTCAGACCCCCACTGGGCACACAGGCACAGCCATACCCGTGGAAGGAAACCCAGAGACCATCTTGGAGGTGGGTGGCCTTGCCTCCCTTGGTAAGGGGCTGGGGAGGAGAGGGTTCTTTGCTGGAAGAGGGGAGCTGATGATGGAGCAGGATGGTCCAGGATGGACAGCCCCGAGGCCCTCTGTGCTTGGAGGGAGTCCCTGTAGACAGCCACTGTGGTGGGAAAAGAGGCTGCCTGGCAGCGGGCACAGCAGACCCCTCTCTAGTAGATGCGCATCTGGCCACAGCTGTGAAAGCTGGGATGAAACAGGCCACAGCTCCGTGCCTGGGGCCTACGGTCTTGCACTGGATGGAGACGCACATCAGAGATTTTCTCTAGAGGAGATAACTGAAGGAGCAAAGTTCTGAGAGGGGCATGCATGAAGATGAGCTGGGGCGCAGTGGCTGAACTTCAAATGGTCCAGGGGCCCCTCCAGGAGGCCAGAAGCAAGTGGTCTGGGGCCACAGTTCTCACCGGGGAGATTTTGCCCCTGTCCACCTTCCCCGAAGTCATCTGGCTTTGGAGACATTTTTTGATCATTATGACTAGTTACTGGCACCTAGTGGGTAGGGCCAGGGATGCTAACCATTCTGCAACACACAGGACTGTCCCCATAACAAAGACTTACCTGGCATAAAGCACTGGCAGTGCTGAGACTGAGAAACCCTCACCTAGTTTTAAGGGCTCGGTCTCTGGGGGCAGTTGCTCTGTGTCTGCACCCTGCTCTGGTATTACTCATCACCTGGGGAGCACTGGCCAACTTGTCTAAGCCTCATCTACTCCATCTGTGAGATGGGAGTAATAACGGGACATAGTTCAGGGGATTGAAGAATACAGTGATGCATGTGGACACGCTTAGCCCGGTGCCTGGCCCCTGGCGCAGAGTCTCCGGGAACAGCGCTTTTAATGACACGCGGGAAGGAGAAGCGGCTGGGTGAGACTAGAGAAACACTAACACAGAGAGAAAAGTCAGGAGGGTCTGTGTTTTCATCAATGCAGACACATGCAGCATTTAGCAGTGGTGGCGCGTGTTTCCTATTCAAAGCCTCTCCTGTGTGGGAAGTAGGAAACGACGGAGAAGAAACGCTGAAAGCAAGGCAGCACCACGGCTCATGCTGTGGTTGGGTGGCCAAACTAGTCACTCAGAGCTGACAAGTCCCGTTAGGTACTTCATGTTCATTGTCTATTTAATCGTCATAGGTTCCTACCTCTGGAGGTCGGTACAATTGAATGGGAGAAAACCTGTTCCTGAAGGCAGCGTTATTTTGGGCAACACAAGGAGCAGGGTAGGTGGTGAATGAGGGACCTCCTTGGTGAGATGGGATCTGAGCTGAGAGTAACCGGGGTCACCAGTTGGCCTTGAACCTCTAAGGCCACACCGGGCAGCACACTAGTTCATCGAACACTCTCTTGAAGCTGTTCAGATAAGATGTCTGGAATGAGGTGGTGGGTTCAAGTGAAACTTGAGTTCAGCTGACCTCTTGATGCACCTGGATCCCTGAAGGACCACCCAAATGCACTGACTTCCTGGGGCTGGAACCCCAGCTCACCCACTTATGAACCCTTGTAAGCTTGGGTGAGTTACTTAAGTCTTCACTGCAGTTCCCTCAGATGAAAAATGAAGATAGAGTCAGCACCTACTGCAGAAGGCCACTGTCCGGAATAAATGGGTTAACACAGAACCATGTCCAGAAGGGTGCTGGCTACAGAACCAGTGCTAGTTACCGTCTGCATGTTGACTGTAATGATGGAAAAGAGGAAGACATGGCCCTAGAGCACAGGTGGCAAACACAAGGCCCGCGGGCCGAATCCGGCCCTCCACCTTGTTTCATCCGCCCAGCACCTTGTTTCTACCCGGCAGCATCGCCGAGCTCTCGCTTAACTGTTAAAGAGTAGTTACATTCACACAGTCCTAAAATTACATCCGGCCCTTGGAAGGTAACTGTGAGGCTGATGTGGCCCCTGGTGAACATGAGTTTGACACCCCTGCCCTAGAGGTTTTCCTTTAGAAATCTGCCTTTGCTTTGATTCCCAGGAGAGGCTGGAGTGGCAGTTGCAATGGGTCCACTCCCAAGGGGGTACAGAGAAAACTCAGAGAGGAAAGGTGGTATCAGGTGGGGAAGGTGACATGTTGGCGACCTGTGCCACTGGCAGACTCACCTAGAGGAGCCGGTATGAGTCTGGGTCTGGGGAAGAGCTTTTCCCTTCATCTAACCACGCCCCCTGCCCCCCCCGCCCCCCCCGCCCCCCCGCCCCCCCCGCCTGGGTTCCCAGCTATCTGCACACTTGTGCCGCGAGCCAGTAGCCTGAAGTGCTGGGATCCAGGTAGAAGAACACACTCAGAAGTTTTTCATCGATGTGGTTTCCTGTTCTTTAAATTGGGGTAGCAACTGGACTGGTGCATCTGTCTTCCTTCTAGGGGATCCAATACATATTTTTCCAGGGAAGCCAACACAGTTAAGAGGGAACTTGTTAACCAGGAGGCCGCTCGGGCTTCACACATTTACAGACACATGGTGTTTCTCTCTTGCCTTCCCCTAAGGCACCGGTTTGCTGATGTCTTCAATACGCACTCAGATAAAACATTTTGCTCTGAGGTTGATGAGCCAGCCAAGAGAGGGAGGTAAGGCAGGGAGAAGGACGAATGGGGCTGGGGGTGAAGCGGGGACACAAGCCAGCATCAGAGCCAGAGGACAGACATGGTTTGAGGGCCTCCTTTCAACAATGAGGACACCCACGTGCCTGGTGACACATGACCTGGACAGTGAGTGGCCAGTGGGAAGCAGGACTCAGAGCTCTTGGCTTCCAGAAACGGTGATCGTTTACTCCAGACATCTAGGACCCAAATGGCCCAAGTCCGATTTCGGGACGTGTGTGGATGTCTCCTTTGGGGTGGCCTTCCTGAGGTGCAGTGTGTCCCCAGCACACACCCCCAGACCCAAGGGGGACCATGGAGAGGGGTGTGGCCAAGCCTGGACATGCAGGCATGGAGGTCACCATGGGGGACAGGGCCAGGGTGGGAAGAAAAGAGGGCAGTGCAGGCTGGAAGCCAGAGCTCCGTGAGTCCCCTGGTCTGGTGTGGAGTCCCCTGAGTGTGGCCTCCATTCCTACATGCGAGGTTCCCACCGATGGCAGGGAAGGGGCCCCCTCTCTGGTCTGCCCCCTGCCCAGTTCTGACAATGGGTGTGACCTCTGTTTCCCTGCTCATGGGGGTTGCCATTGGGAAGTGGCCAAGAAGGAGAATTTCTTGCCAGCTCTCTTCTGTCAAAGTGGAGCTGATTTATAGCTTTAATATTTACAACCTGGGAGAGGATCTCAGGGACAGACAGCTTCTGTGATTAAATCTGAATAAACGGGTTCTAAAACCAGCCGTGAGTCTGGCGACAGTAATAATAGCAGAGCTACAGCACGGCAGCGGGGTTTTCTACATCCACCTTCATCACTTACTGGCATGTAACCTTGGATAATCTCTCTAGGCCTTGGCTCCATCATCTGTAGAATGAGGACAATAGTCACACAGTAGTCCCTCCCCCCTTATCCTTGGAGGATACATCCCAAGCCCCCCAGTGGATGCCTGAAACCTTGAACAGCACTGAACCCTATATATACTATGTTTTTTTTTCACATACGGACACACCTTTTCACTTAAAGGGAACACTTTATGGCTTCTCGCTGGCATAGCTGAATACCAGCATCACATTGTTGTGCTTTGGGGCCATTATTAAGTCAAATAAAAGTCACTTGAACACAAGTGTTGCTGTTCTGTGATGGCGGATCTGATAATGCAGAGGGCTACTAAGTGACTAAAGGGCGGGGAGCATGTACAGTGTGGACAGCTGGACAAAGGGATGGTTCGCATCCAGGATGAGGCAGGAGAGCCCTAGACTGTATCACGCTACTCAGAATGATGTGTAACTTAAAACTTATGGGTTGTTTATTTATGGGATTTTCCTTAATACTTTTAGACCATGGGTAACTAAAACCATGGAAAATGAAACCGTGGATAAAGGGGACTATTGTACCTACTTTATAGGGTTCTTGTATCACTTGCTTGATTGGGCCTCTCAGACAGAAAAGGTGACAGCAGGAAAGAGGGATGTATGAGTCCGGTGAAGGGCAGAGGGGCAGACACGACTCCTTCTAGACAGGCCAAGTGGCCGGTCAAGAAGAGAGAGGTAGGAGGGGAGAGGCAAGAACCCCTGGATGCCATGATGCATTAGCAGAAAGACAGGACTGTGGGTTTATGTAGAAAGGAGGAGCAGATGCTGAAAGGAAGAGAAAGGTGCCATAAGCCAGTCCTACAAGGTGCATACTTCACAGATGCACACAGGTGCACACGTGCGCACATGTGCACACCACAGTTGGGGACCTCCATGGTCCCTCAATGGGTCTAATGCAGCAATAAGCATTAGACCCGTTGAGGGACCAAAGTGGCCTGGCCTTTCATTTCTGCATCATCACAGCTAGCGGAGGACACAGATGTCTGCTGAATGAGTGAATGAATGAATGAATGAATGAATTCATAAATGAAGATACAGAATTTGTGATCAGTGAATAGAGAAGGATGCCAAAGCTGGAAGCATGGATAAAGTCTCTAAGAAACCACTTATAGGGAAAAGAGCAGTGACCTGAGATTCTTGGTGAATGCTCACTGTAAGTATAAGTGAGATGGGAAAGAATCCAGCAAAGAAAAGAGAGACAGGGAAAATGGAAATGCGGGAGAATCAGGACCAGGCAGAGCCAGCATGGCCAGTGGGGGAGTTTACGGGACGGATGTACTTCAGTGCATCCAGCAGAACAAATGTCACAGAGGCTGAAGCAGGCCATGTGTTTGTCAGTGACCTTTGAAGAGCTGTTCCATCACCAGAAGGGAGAGCACTGGCCCACTGAACATGGGGACGCTGTGTTGGTGAATCAACTAAGTCACCAGGCAACCTTTCTGAGAGGGGGCAACATGCTTCCTCCAGACGTGGGAGAGTAGGAAATAGCAGAGGACAGGGTGGGGTGAACCAGGGCCCTCCTCAGAGACAGGAGGGGCAGAGGATGGTAGTGGCTTTAGCAGATCTGAGGTCACTACCTGGAAGTCAGGGTTAAGTCAGCAGAAAGATTCATAGAACAGGCATTTCAGGCTGGAGCAGCGACAATCAACGACATGTATTCCTGTTTGCACTTCATATTTGGGAGTAGCTGTCCTACCCGCCCAGTCTGACCCAGCCCACACTCACTGCCAGCGGGTTGGACACCGATGACATACTCATTAAACTGCTAATTTAATGGCAATTTCCTCTGAACATGACAGTCTGGTAAGGTGTCCTTCAGAGAAATCCCATGCCCTTGGAAACTCGGCGGAGTGAACCCAGTCTCGTACTGAGGGGAGGCATGCTTCTCATCCTCTGATGCTGAGCTCTGGCTATAACTGGTCACCTGGCATCACATAAAAGCAGGAGACAGAGGCTGAGTCCATGCACATGTTTGCAAATCCCCAACCGGTCACTTACCTGGGACTTTGCATCCTCGCCTTTGCTCTTGACACATGGACTTAACCTGAGGTTATAGATCTCTGGGTTTTTCTGCCTTTGAGACTCCAGGCACTTCTGTCTCTGTCGGATGTTGCCCTTCTGGATGGAGGAATCCTTGGGAACTCTAGAAAGAAGCCACGGGAGAGGTGAGAATCCGTGGCTCTTGGGATGTTTACACTAGCAGCTAAGAGGTGGGGGCAGTGCTTTGAGAATGGCAGGGGCATTTTTTCCTGGGTCCTGCTGGGGAGGAGAATACACTTAGGAACAAGGCAGCAAGGAAGGACCCAGGAGTCAAAGGTCAGATGGAGCTGGAAGGGAGGCAGCGGCTGCCCATCTATGTCCTTGGGTCACGTCGGGGGTCGGGGGATGGCAGTCAGACCCCAGCAGCTGAGAAGCACTGATCCGAGCTAACCTCAGTCCCTGATGCTACTGATTAGCGTAACTCCTCTTTGGGTGTCACGGGTCAGAGGGAGCTCACTTGACTTCTCAGACCTCTACGTACTAAAAAGCCCTCATCCTGCTGGCCATAGGCTGTCCCTTTTCCAGACCAAGTCGGCTGAGGGCCTTTCCTGGCAGCCACCAAAGGCTCACGTAGTAGGGAAGGTACCTGAGTTCTGGGTAGACGTTCTCCAGGTACCACTTGAAGCTCTGGCAGTGCAGTTTCCTCCTCAGGTCCACTCTGCTCTCAATGCTGGGGGTGAACAGGAGGATAGAACACAGCCGTGTCACGGGCAGGTACCAGGCTGGGTGGCACAACGCACAGCCTGTGCCCATGCTCTGCGCCCACCTCTGTCTGGAGGGTGCTGAAAGAATTAACCAGGAGACATTTCTAGAGCCCCAGGCAGAGCTACGGAAATACTGAGTAATACCTCACAATGGTGCGGTAATGACACCAAGGCCTTGTGCTTTAACTTCAAAATGGATTTTGGGGGTATTTTGACTTTTCACTAAAAACGAGGCTACAAGGACAGTCCGTGTGTTGTAATAATTCACCATCGGGGCTCTGAGTCTACTTGCTCGCACATCCCTGTTAGGATTCTGCAGTTGAAATACCACCCCAGACCACCCCAGCCTCAAAGAATCCTCTTCTTTGGTTGGTTCCGGGGCCTCATCATCTAGTTGCTCATCAAATATTTATTGGGCACCTACTATGTGCCAGGCATGTGTCCAGTGCGGGATATAATGATGAGCTTTTGAGTAATAGAGAAAGGTAATGAAATAAGCGATCCCAACCGGATGAGGACAGGGGCTGGGCAGGCACGGACTGCGGGAGCACTGCAGGGGTGTGCCCTTGCTCAGCAGTTCTGTGGTGGTCAGTGTGGTAACGCCGAAGGAGGAGTGGACGTTACCTAGACAAACCAGAAAGTGGGTAAAGCAGGCACCGGGGAGAGGCAGGGGACTAGCAGGGAGTAATGCACGTGAAGAAGTGAGAGGGTGTGGGCAGGAGCAGCTCTGTGGGAGGGGAACATATGTGTATGCGCAAATGTGTGTGCACGGGGGGATGGAAGAGAGGAAACGAGTGGGATGAGAGACAAAGATACAGACCTATAGTGGCTTGTGAGGCGAGGCTCTGTGGAGGAGGTGGGACTTTATTTTTAGGGCAGTGGTGTCACAGATGGGTTCTGAGCAGAGCATAATGTGATGATGCTTGCAGTTTAAGGGCGTCTTATGGATCACAAATGGGTCTGATGGGGCGAAGCTGGAGGCAGCGAGAGCCATTAGCAGGTGGTTGTAGAAACCTGGGTGCTGATCATGATTTCAGGTAGAAAAGCCGGGGTGGGAATGGAGAGAAGTGACAGGTTCGAGTCCCTCCACTTCTCCCCATCTGCACCACCAGCACCAGCTGAGTTCCATCTGCACCTTGTCGCTCCTGGGCATCCACATGGAATGGCCCTGCTCTATCCGGCCATGCCCCTCCTGCCACCCAAGCCTGCACCAGGCACTGTCTTAGCACCAAGACTTTTTATATAGCACTAACAACAGTTTGTCACCAGACCCTAAGCAACACAGGGACAGGGATGACTTTCAAAAAAAATGCTAAATGTTCAGTGTTTAGCAGGGACCTGGGTGCTCAGTGATGCCGGGATGTGGTGACTGTTTGGACGTGAGGGGGGAGGGAGGAGTGCAGGCTGACACCCAGATTTCTGACTTGGGCCACAGGATGTAAGGAAGAGCATTCACTGAGACGGGGAACAGGGGCTGAGGAGCAAGTGTGGGCGCCAAGTGGATGAGTTCGGCTGGAACCTGAGTTGGAGGAGACGCCCAGGCAGAGATGTCTGGTTGATACTTGGACGTAAGGGACTGGAGCTCAGAGGGGAGGTCCGGGTTAGAGACGGACACGTGAGTAGCAGCAGCACTGAAGGGGTGGCTGATGCCAGAGAGACCGCACGGTAAGAAGACGGCTATGACAGACCCTCGGGGAAGACCGACATGTAAGGGCGGCAAGGGGAAACTGAGGTTGAAAACGAGACCTCAAAGGCAGAGCCTGAGCAGCAGGACTAAAGCCTGGACAGTCGTTACAGAAATCCAGAGATCGGAGGTGTGCTGAGAGTGGGGGGCGGGGTGGGAGAAGACTCGCACGAATGGGGTAACACAGAGAACGGTATGGGGTCCGAGGGAGTCAGGGGTGAGCAGGGGGGAGCACTCAGAGGGGGCGGGGCAGGCAGCTGTTTCATGAAGCTTGGCTTTCGAGGAGGAGAGGACAGGGGGCAGGTAATGAGCACAGTAGGAGTGAAGGAGAGTTTGGTAGTGTTTTCTTTCTTTTTCTTCTTCCTTTTCATGCCATTTTGAAGATGGAAGACACTGAATAAGTTCAAATGGTGGTGGGCACCATGCAGTGGAGGAGGCATGAGTGATCAGGGAGAGAGTGGAGACACATGGAGGGCCACGCCCCCTGGAGCAGTGTTTCCCACACTGTCTGCACCTTAGAATCACCAGGACAGGGGTGTCTTTAAAAAAAAAATATCCTGCAGCGCAGGCCACACCCCGGATTACAGCAACCCCCTGGGAGTGGATTAGAGGCCTCAGTAGCTTCCGAAGCTCCCTGGGTGACATTGCAGTGAGCTGGCTATTCTGGGAACCACCCACCTCGAACCTTGCTCCTGGGGCTGAGGTCCTCTGACTAGCAACGCAGTATCAGCTGGAAACTTATTAGAAATGCAGTCCTGCCGAACCGGCATGCACTTTTTAACGAGATCCCCAGGAGATCCATGTGCACATTAAAGTTTGATAAGCTCTGAGCCAGGAGGCAGGAGGAGATGAGTCCAGGCTGTGGGGACTCAATAAATGTTGATTTATAAATGAGTGCAGGAATGAAAGGTGTGTCTGGAGTACAGGTAGAGGGCTGGCCTGCCCCAGCAGGAGGCAAACCCCGTCCTCTGAGATGAAAGGGACAGAGAAGGATGGTGCAGATACAGTGCAGTGTATAGTTTGGTTCGTTTTAGGAAGTGGATGCCATCTCTGTCATCTATAAAACGGATGTCATCTGTTGTGAGTGACAGAAGGGGCGTGGACTCGGTGGCTGGGGAGAGTGGAGAAGATTTAGAAGGAGCTGGAGGGGAAACGCTGGCCAGGAGAGGGGGCGGGGCCAGTAAGCACAGCAAGGGCCTCCCTGAGGCTGATGGCTGCAGAGTGCTACCAGTCCCAGCTGATAATTCCCAGGACCATTCGGCAGCCTGTGCAGAGGGGAGGAAAAGGTAATAGAACCGGGTTCATCCAGGGCTGAGAAAACTTTGCCCGGGGTGTTGATAGAGGCACAGCAGGGCAACAGATTTGAGGGCGTCTTTCTAGTCCTCCTTTTAGGCAAGAGAACAGAACCTAAGCGGGAGAGGGAAGGAAGTGAAGAAAGGAGAGGCGGATGGGCATGGCCAATGAACTGGCAGTTTGGTGAGGACTGCAATGAAGGCCTTGGGAAGCTCCTGGAGGGAAAGTGGGGGACGGCATGGGTTAATGGCTTAAGAGGTGCAGATCATTTGGTCAGGGTCTGATTTAACCCCCTGGAGCAGTGATGGGATCAGCTTATGAAGTGTAGGTTGCAAAAAACCCACCTGCTCCACAGCCTCAGCCTGACCAATGGGTGACATTAACATAGCAAAAAGTCACTGGCTGCCCCCCACTTCCCCCAGAGACAGATAACATAAACAAAGCTGCCACTTTTCCTTGCTTGAATCAGCTTTGGGTTGGGGAGTGCAACCTCGTGTACTTTTAGAATCAGACCGGTGTGGTTTGGGCCTCGTCCCCTCGTACAGTGGTGTGATCCAGGACAAGTACCTTAACCTGCAGAACCCTCAGTCGTCTCACCGTGAGGCAGGTAATTATACCCACGTCTTACAGTCTGGGAAGTGCTAATGAGTTAGGTATCTTCTGTAATGTCACCTGGCACTTCCTCCCTTTCCCTGTCCTCCCCCACCCCCACGAAGCTGGAACGCCGCTGTAGGGACATCTGTGCGACACCGTGTCTCCCAGGAAGGAGAAGGACTTGGGCCCGGTGGCTGAGAACCGGGAGGAAGGCACTCTGACGTGCAGGCATAGTGCTGTAGTCCCACAGCCCGCCTTTCTGGAAAGAGCTGGAAACATCCGACCACTGTACAAGGACAGCCCCACCGGAGCGGGTGGTCCGGGTTGCCAGGCAGTCATTCCACACGAGCCGCCCAGAGCCGTGCACACCCAGTGCGGGGCGGGCACAGCAGGGCTGCAGTAGGAGAGCAGCCGCAGCCTGGGGCCTGGACGGGCCTGGCGGCTCAGAACAGCTCAGTGACAGGCCCGTCAGGACCCGTCTGCCTTGGGCCTGGGAGCTGGGGCCCTTCTGGACTCTCCGTGCAAATCAACCGGAAGGGCACTTACTTTCCAAAGGGCCTCTCCAGGGCAAACGGCCGGGCAGCATAATAGTATTGCCTGTATTCATCCATCCACACTTCTGCTGTCCGCTTGGTGTTCCTGGGGGGCGGGGGACCGGGGTGTCAGGGTGGTGTTATCCGAGAGGACCCGTGAATGTATCTAGTTCAGGTACACCCGTGCGAGCAAGCAGGCAGCATTCCCCAGGCCGCCACGGTCCAGCAACACTCCTCTCCCCAGGGTGCTGGGCCGAGCCAGGTCCCACCCAGTCTCCAACGGGAACTTTACCCCAAGACACAGGACTTTAGTGGTGATGACAAACTGGTCCCCAAAAGGTCTGCACCAGAGAAATGGCCCATGTACTGAACTTCCAGGACTCAAACAAGGAGTCACGGGGAGAGAAGAGCCAGGAGAGTCCGGCACATCTGTGTGGCACCAGTAGCCGAGAGGACAGACAGTGGTGCATTGGTCGCCTCCCCCCAGGCCATCCCCGGGCCCCTGCTCCAGGTGCGCCCCCCCCGCCTTTACACAGAACACACGCCGAGGTCCCCGCTCTCCCAGCCTTCCCCGAGATCTAAGCAACTAGCTTCTTGCAGGTGTGAAGAATGAAGTAATCAAGCCGTCTCAGATATTTTGCCAGCACTCAGGCGTTTTTTTTTTACATCGGGAATTGTTCTGAGTCTGACTCCAAAGGTCACAGAAAAAAGGCCGGGAGGAAGAGAGGCAGTGAGAAATGTCACCATTCAGCCATCAGAGAGGCAGGGCTATCAGGAGGAGCCCCGGAGCGCAGAAAAAACACCCCAGAAAACAACCAGGTGCCAGGGGCAGGCAGTGTGGGGAGGAGCACCCGCTGAGGCCCTCGGCAGTGAACTTGGGGTCTCACTGAAGACGGTGTGCGCCTCCAGATTTCTGGTTCCATTTGGAGCAGAGGCATTTGAGAGAGGGGCATGGCAAGCCCTTCCAAGGTGGTGGGCCAGCAATGAGTCAGGCACACACAGCCCCGTTTGGGGGGCCATGAAGGCTGTTCTTGCCTTGCTGACCCTTCTACTGGCTGAACCATCAGCAAACCGAAGCTGCTCAGGAGACAGCTCCACCTCGTTTCTTTAACCACGGAGTGGCCGGGGTCCAGTCTCACGGACGGTGGGTGTTCTGGAGCCCCAGGTTGTGCCCCTCACTCCCGGGCTGTCCCCACGCTACATCACAGCCACGTCGCTTTCCCACACCAGACGTCAGCTCCTCTGTCCCTTCTGAAGACTCAAGAGCTGAGGCAGCCCCACCTCTGTTCCCTGCTGCTGCTCCTGCCTGCTGGGAGTCTCACCGCCCCACCCTTGCCCTCCACATTGCCACAAAAGGTGCCAACTTTCCCATGGCTCAAACCCATGTCTCCTGTGCGACTGCAGTGCCAGGGTGTGACCCATACCTGTTCGTGTATGTGGAAAACTGAGGAAGGAAGAACACGGAGGAGGAAAGTGGCACCCCGAAGGAAGAAAACCACCAAATGAGGTGCTTAGTCCTCCTTCCCCCAAATGGACAAAACGATAGGGGAAAGTGGAAGAAATGGGCGAGTGGACCTTTCAAATGAGAAAAGACAAGAGAATTAGGGAAAAGGAGAGAAGATGCTAGAGGGAAAAAAAGGAATACGTTACACATGAGTCTATTTTAAAGGAGAGGGACAAGGCTGAAAGGGAAGAAATGGAGCAAAGGAGGAGGCTGTAGGCAGGGAGAGGGCAGGAAACGGCCCGTGGGCACCGCTGGGTCACTGAGTCCCTGGCGTCTTGTCCTTCCCTGGGCAGGAGACGAGAGCACCCTGGGAGAGGAGCCCCGGCCGCAGGGTCTGCCCTGGCCTGGACCCTTTCTGTGCACAGGCGAGGCCCTGGCACAGCCATGGGCCTTGAACCCACTGTGCCCCCCTGCCCCCGAATCTTCCCAAGAACCTTCTCCCTGGTGACAGCCTGCACAAAACAGCAGCAGATCTTCCAGAACTCAGAGGCCAAAAACAGCTGCCCTGCCCCATCCCTGAACAACACAGAATACCCAGAACCTTAGGCCCTGCAGAATGGCTCAGTGACTTGAAATCCCCAAGGCCCTATGTGGGACCTTGCCAGCCTGGAGGCCCCTGCCTAGTACTGGATGGGCAGGCCTGACCTCCTTGCGTAGGCAGAGGCCTGGAGAGCACCACATGCGGCTCCTGACCACCCAGAACGCTCGGGCAACCTACCGGAGAACCCGAGACAGCCGCAGCCCATCCCCAGGAAAGCCCTCCGCCACCGCGGCTCCCAGGGAGCCCCTGGGCTGCACACTTACTTTATGTACGTGTTGGCGTTTCCATCTGGGAAAACATACGGGTGCTTTTTCCGGAAGACGTGGCCCACTCGGCTGCAGGGGACGATCTCTAGGCTGCCCCCACACATCCACACTCTGAAGGAGATCTCTGCAAGAAAGCCACGCCTTCCATCACGGTTCCGCCTCCTGGACAAGGAGGGGTTGGGACACAGGACAGCCTTGAGTTCACAGCCAACTGTGTGCTCCGCAGGCTGGGCAATCTTGGTTCCCACATCCACAAATGGGGATGAAGATAACTCAGACCTGGGAGGGTGGTCTGAGTTAACATGGGAGTGGAGGCCTGCAAGGAGGAGGAGGAGCATGCGCCTAAATCAGCCCCCGGGCACATCAGGGCCAGCTGCGATGCCCTCGTCTGGAAAGAGAAGGCTTGGGGCCACGAGAGTGCTGCTTTTGGACACACAGAAGGTGTCAGTGTGGAAGCCAGATCAGACTCCCTCACAAGACCTCAGAGGGTTAGAACCAGGACTGATGAGAAAGAATTTCCATTTGAAAATATGGAAAAATTTGCTGACAGTCAAGGTCGAGACAGAAGTGGCCGACATGGAGATAGGGAGTTTCACACTCTGGCAGGCTAGCAAACCACATGGCTGGTTCCAGGAGGCACCTCCCAATACCCAGACTGCAATCCTACCACTCTGCAAGGACACCTGAATTGTAGCCTTCCCAAGAGGACTGAGAGTAGCCACAGAATATGCTAGAAGCCTCAATGCTATTGCTGGGTGTGCTCCATCAGGTGGGGACTCTGCACACACCCCCATTTCTTCCTGGTTGGCTGCTGTTGCTGCTGCTGCTGCTGCCACGACCTCGGGAACCTCAGGGAGGAGAGTGGAGTTAGCAGACAGGCTGGGCTGGGCACTTCTCCCTGGGGCTGCTTCTCAGCGGGTTGGGGGCAGTGGTTCTGCCCCGGAAGGAAGCAGCAGCAGACCAACATGGCTGGGGTGTATCTTACCACTGCCATTGTTCAGAATTGCCAGCACATATTGATAATAAAAAGCAGAATAACTGTTAGACACTGTTATTATTGCTTTTAACTTCTCTAGAAGTGCACCCCCTTGCTGACTGCTCCCAGAGCAGGCCACCCATTTGCACTCTACTAGGTATTACTAGGTACGCCACGAGTGGGAAGAGCCAGCTTCCCAACAGGGAATTCCTGCCTGGCCCTAGCTTCCATAGTCAAGTGTAAGTACGAGGAAGACAGGCCGGCTCAGGAAAAAAATCTATGCCATTGGTGACTGTCCCTTGGAGGTGCCATGTGGCAGCAGGCTGGGTGCCCATGGACAGGAATTAGGATGTGAATATTCCAGTGCCTTCCCACCGCACAGGTGCCCTGCACCACCCAGCACCTTGGGCCCCACCTCCCTTTGTCTCTTCTCTGTCCCTCCCACTTCCTGCTCTGTGTCTCCCTTCGTTTCAGTGACCCAAGCAGGTGCCTAGACCTCTTCTTTACCCTGATCCTCACCTGCTCTCTCCCTCACCAGTCCTCAGCCACCCTTGTCCCCTACTTCCTCCTGCCATGTGTCCCTGGAAAGGCCACAGAGTTGCACACAAGACTTCCCTGTCTCCACATCTGCCCAGGTGCTGTCCCGGATGGACTACACCTCACTCCCAGGAAGCTCGGATGTCCCTCAGAGTGGGGACAACATGCACACTAGGACGAGGAAAGGACTCGAGGGTGCCACCGAGTGATGGCAGAAACACGGAGTGGGGGAGAAACAAGAAGAGCTTGGCTTTGGGGCCAGTGGCCCGAGTCTGCAGTGTCCTACTAGCTGCGTTTGTGGGGACGCCTGCCTGACCTTGCTGAGGCCAGGTCTTCTTGTTCATCAAATGAAAACCATAAAAACACTCTGCAGGATTGCTGTTGACATCCAACGAAACAGGATTCTGAGAGTGACTGAAACCTCCGGTGGGATGCAGAGAGCAGCCACAGTTGTGAAGAGATGTCCCTCTGAAGTCCGTGTCTTTAATAAAAACATGGCCACCGACGGCATGGACCACCTGTGCCCACCTGCAACTTCTTCTGCCATAAAAGGCATTTGAAATTTATGGACTTAACGCTCGAGATTTCTACTCTCCATCAAGGTCCAGGATGCATCGTGATTTGGAGTCTTGCGGGGACACCGCTAGCATCGTGTGCCCAAGCTGAGGTTCGCAGGAGATAGGAACAATGAGTGTGTTTTGCCGACAGTTTACAAGCACTCTCCACCTTGCAGAGAACGTGCCGAGGGGCTGAAGGCCTTGGCCCAGGGAATTATGTTGGTACACGTGTAAGTTCAGTCTCCGGAGATGTCTTCGGTAACAGGTCTCAAGTCTACTGTGTTCCCATCAACTCGTCTTGTTCCTGTTCCTAAAAAGGAAAATGTGCTAATCCCTCAAGACTAGAGATGGAAGCCTTGCTTACTAGATATAACCAGTGAGTTTTGTGCCAGCTTTCTTAAAAATATGTCTATGTTTTGGCTATGGTCTCTTCCTTTCCATGTATTCAAATGAGACATATGCTCCCTACTCATTTTTAAAGTGAATCCGTCCAACCTAGGCTTCAAGCCCATCCCCCACCCCCAGTCCCCTGAAACCTGCTTCTTTCCCAGTGTTTGCTGGGCCCAGCACTTTGCTTCTTTCCTGAATCTGCCGGCCTCCCTCCCCTCTGCCACAGTCACGCACAGATCCCCCCCTCCCCTTCGAAAGTACCGTCGCCTGGTCCTGGTCCTTCTCCACATTCCTTCTGGCCTCCTAGCGTTCTGCACTCCAAGGCTGCCTCTGAGTGTCTTCTCCATGCTGCTTCTTCCTCCGATGCCCATGTTCGCTTGACACCGAGGACTCACCTCCGGGCTCCAGCCCCAGCTCCCAGTGGCTGCCTGCTGCTCTGTTCAGGTGCACTGGGCCCCCTCAGACACTGTGTGTCTTCTGGCCCATCAGCGTTCCCCCCCCCCCCCCTCAGCCTGCCTCCTCTTCCTCGTTTTCCTGTGTCTGGTGCCTTTGTCCAAACCTTCTAAGCATCTCACTTCTGCCAACATCATCAACGGGAGGAAAACAACCCCTTCGTTTACTTCTGGCTGGACTTTGCTCAGTCCTCCCTCAGGTGGTGGCTTTATGAGTCACCCCAACAATCCCAGGGCTCATGGTTGTGCTTGGTCTTGTTTTCTGATGCAGAAGCAGTTCTGATCGGGCAGCTGATGGTGAGTAGCTGGGAACCGAAGCGCATCCCCCAACTCCAGAACACATGCTCTTGCCTGATTCCACCCTCCCTCACCACTGTATACCTCCCACCAGCCAATGCAGCCACGGATGCAAACATAGCAACTTCTCCATTCTCACCAACAAGAGAGACAAGTTTATAACCAGCGGTCACACTTCTCCCTCATCCACTCATTCCCCCAAGCCTGATCAATGTCTGTCTTAGATCTCCAGGCTTGGATGCCACCCAGAGGATCCTGTGGCCTTAGGAGCATAGGCGCTCCTCTCCCTGGGGACAGATTGTCATGTCTGAGCGGAGCTGAGACAGCGGGTGGCGGGCATGGCTGTGCTGCTGCAGGGGTCGGGCAGTCTGGGCGATGCAGCTTGGAGTGGTCAGAGTAGCATGATGATTCCCAGGTACTAGAGTGTGGAATATTTAAGACCTAGGACACAGAGTGGCCCTTCCTTTCTCTACTCCACTAACTCCAAGATAATAATGTCCTCAAAGACTGCTAGAGTCCTCAAAGGACTGCAAGCCAGGCCCAGAGATTCACAGATATCTGCTAGAGGCTTTGTGAAAGTCTTGTAACCCCACGGCCTGGGGCCGTGGGGGCCGGGACATCAGCATGTGTCCCTCGTAGGCAAAGCCTAGTCCCTCGCTCTCTGCTTCTTCTGGCCCCGCAACGTCACCCCTTTCTCATGTGAAGGAAGATGAAGCAAAAAGACAATGCAGGGAGTTGGCAGGGGGTCGTCACTGAGTAACCCACACAATCTCCCTGGTGACAAATGTCACATGGGAGATTCAAGTCTGCTGTGAACTCCAGGTGGGAGATGTGTAATTATTCCATCCTCAATGGGGACACGGATCCTTATTTTCTTCAACTTCCTTCAAACTTATTTTTAACTTTATTCTTTAAGCTTCCTTTAAAGTGACATTTGAGAGCACGCTGCCCTTCCCGCCCTCCACTCTTGCCTCCTTCTCTCTACTCACCAAGCCCCCAGTTGTTTTACCGGTGCGCATGGACCCCCACGCTCTGCCGGAACCAACACCTACGTGACAAATCCATGACGGTGGATGGGAGTTCAGGGGAAAAGGGACAGCTTCCTCCCTAGGAACTAAGCCACAGCTATTCATACACCTCTGCTGATCGAGGTTCTAATTTCATTTTATAGCCTGGTTTCTCAGCAGAGGCAGGAAGAGCATTAGACGTGGGCTCCACCGAGAGCTGTGGGCTGTTCTGAGTGCGGCCACATCTGCTGTGCACACCATCGCTCTACCCAGCCCACCTCTGGCTGGCTGAAACCATGGAGATCAAAGGGAGGCGGGCGGACAGTGGCGGGCAGAAAGTGGCACACGCCCCCCTGGCTATTTTTACTCATAAGGCCACACACACAAATGTGGTCCCAGGACCTTTCCTTTCAGTAATCGTCACATTCCCAGGGTCTCCTGTGCCAGAAATCCCTGTTACTATTTTTTAATGACTACACCGACTGAGGAGGGATTATCTAATTGGCCCACAAAAGGCAGCTTTGAATCTTTGAGCAAAACTGCTTCACGCCATCTGGGACAATCGCAGCTGCATGTGGGCCTCAGTCACACCACGGCCACCAAGGGCCATATGACTGCAAATGCCACGGTGGCACCCTTCGCGTTTCTGTATTCCCAGTGGGAGAGAATGGCCTCCGGGGAAGCTCACCGGGGCACTGGGCTTTAGCAAGCAGCCCAGACAAGGAACGGAGCAGAGGCCTGCTTTCACGTTGGGGGAAAAAGTGACTTTCATCAGACTCAGTGTCCTCAGATGGGGCCATTTCCCTCACCTTGGGCCACCGAGCATGGAAAGAATGAGGCTGAAAGAGGAAGCGGCGGGGAGAAGCTGCTGCAGCAGGCCTGACACACGCTCCGCTAACCCATGTGGCTCGCATGGGGCTGGGAGGGGAAGCAGAGACGCCGCACGTTACCTAGTTCATCCTCACAGCAGCCTGTGGTACAGCGGGTGGTCAGGTTCTATCGCTGCTGCAACAAACTACCACACTAACCTAGTGCGTGGGTTTGCCTGGGCCTCTGCTGAGAGCCTCCCAAGGCCAAAATCAAGGGTCCACAGGACCCTGTTCCTCTCTGGGGGCCCTGAAGAAGAATCTGCCTTCAAGCTCACTGAGGTCGTTTGCAGGACTCAGCTCCCTGTGGTTGTGGGGTGGAGGGTCCCTCTTCCTTGTTGGCTGTAGGCCAGGAGCCTCTCTACGCCCACGCTGCCCCTCCACCTGTAAACCAGCAGTGGCCAGATCAGTCCCTCTCCGGCTGCCAGTGTCTCCGACTCCTTCTGTTCCGTCTCTTCTGCCTCCAGGTGAAGAAAGTTCTCTGCTTTTAGGGGCTCACATGTTTAGACTGGCCCCCTCTGGATGATCCAGGATCATCTCGCATCTTCACAGTCAACAGCCCTGATCCCATCTGCAAAGTCCCTTTTGGTGTGTTCTCCCTGACCAAGCTGTAGCCAGCTCTGCTCGATGAGGCCTTGATCTTGGCCCCTGTCCTTGTTGAGCCTCCATTCTGCAGTTGTAGCAAGAATTCTGCTAATCCGGTTGAGAGAGAATCCCTCACCTGTGATGTTCTCTCTTAGCAACTTTCACCCACTGGCCCCCACTCGGGCCCTTGGCTCAGAGTCCCCACTTGCTCCTGTAGTCCTCTAAGTTGAGCCCCATCTCCTTCCCGTGTGGTGACAGTCTCGGCACCTATTGTGATAGTCCTGAATGATGTCTTCCTCACCATCTTAACAAGACTCAGAGTAATTTTTACTTTAACACGGGGATGAGGGAGTGGATATCCTTTGGGGGGAGGCCATTCTCCATACCTCAGAAAACACTATCTCCAGTTTAAAGACTTGGACACAGGCCCAGTGAAGTAAAGTTAACTATTTCAGGGACACTCAGCTAGTTACAATGACAGGGTTCAAACTCGGGCCCCTCTGATTCTGCAGCCCCTGTTCACGCACGCGCAGGTGTGTGTGCCAAGCCTGACGCAGCCTGCTGTCCTTGACTGCATCCAGGGCCGGGGGTGGTGGTAGCTCCTCCTTGGGCCTCACCTCATTTCTTTCCTCAGCCCTGTCTTTTGTGTTTGCTGTGCTTTAGAAATCGCCCAGGCTAAATCCAGAGATCCCATGCTCACCCTTCATGCATGTGCTAAGTCCCCCCCCCCAGAAATGTGCACACCCCCCTACACACACATACCCTCTTCTCACTGGGCAATAGCTTCCTTTGATCTCTAAAGACCAAAAGCTGTGAGTGAGATGCAGCTGGGAGGGAGTAAATGTATCAGATATATCAGGTGGCCTGTGTTATGCAAATTAGAGTTAAAGTGTACAATTTTAATGCAAAACAACTTCTGGAGGAATAAAAAGGCTAAAAGCCACATCTCCTTCCCTAAAGCCTGCTTCTATGCTAAATGCAGACCAAGTTATCAAAACTATTCAGCTCCTGCCAGAAACACTGTGGGAATACGGCACACCAGGCTCAGGCTGGGCGAGTGCTTGGGGGGTCGTCTTTCCCGGGGCAGCTGGGGTGGCTTCCGACAGAAGAGAGTGCGGTGGGGTGGCAGGCAGGGGCAGCACGGCGCTGAGGGCCCTGGTGGCCACCCGAGCCAGAGCCTTCTCCAATAACATCACGGATTTCTGTGAAACATGGTCAGTGCAACACAGGCCAACCTGTCTGGAGCCCCCAGACGCCCCGTTTCTGGGAAGAGAAACGCACCTGTCCCTGCTGTTATTTTTCTCCATGAGCTCCATTTACTGCAGTGAGACCTGTTTTACGCGGAGCCTCGTGAACTGGATGTGTGTTCACCTTCCCACCCCGGCACCTCTTCCTACGTTTCTGGATTTTGAACACACAGGGAGTGGGTTCCACCATTCCAGGCCTTAAGGACGGGAAGCCGGAGGAAGGCTCTTGCCTCTGTTCTAGGTTTAGTAGGAGGCAGGGCAGCAGGCACAGACGAATGTCATACATCACAAATACACGAGAGGGCTCAGTGCCAGGGTGCAGAGGAGAGCTGGGTGCTATGGGCACAGGGTGAGGGAGAGGTGGGTGCCAGCGTGGGCAGGGAGGTGCCCATGCACTGGGTGGGCAGCCCCAGAGCCACGCTCCTCAGCTTGGTAGAGAGACAGCACTAGGTTGTCGGAGCGTGGGCGAGTCAAGGCAGAGCCTCTGGACCGAAGGCTGGAGGGGTGAGCGAGGCCAAGGAGCGACCCAGCTGAGGAGTGTGGACCTCGTCCTTGAGACAGGAAGCCGCCAGTGGGTGGCTGCCAGGCCCGAGCAGGTGGGAGAGACCAGCATTTTAGAGAGGGCACTTTGGCGGCAGGCGTGTGGGAGAGTGGCTTTGAGGGGCGTAGACCGGAGGTGCGGGTCGTTCAGGAGAGTACTGGGGATGAAGAGAGGGGAACAGACGTGAACAATGGTGAGGAGGAGCAGACCTTCAGGACTCGGTGACCTGGGACGTGGGGAGGCCCCTCTGGCCACACCCTGCTGTGGGACCTGGGACCCGCTCGGGACACGCAGCCTCCTCCATCCCCGGCGTCCTCTCTCCTCTGCAGCGGAAGCCTCGCTCTCCTACCACATCCACCCCTGCTCGTTGCCCCACCCTGCACGGACTCCTTCAAATCCCCACCTTCGAGCACTCAGGTGCCCAGCTGTCCTCGCCCACAGGACCGGTGCTGCTCACACGCTGTACCCACCATCGGACGAGCACTGCATTTTCTCACATAAAACTCGAAGAGAAGGAAATGCAGGTGCTGGGAGCCGGCTACCGCATCATGGGATGTTGGGATGGGAGAAAAGCAAGTGTTTCCGTGATAGCTGTCGGCACTGCTTTTTCTGTGGCCTGAAAGTGTCGTGGTGGATCATGAAACATCTCTACGCAGAAGCTCTGCAGAAGCCCCTCCCTGCTTCCCTACTGGAACCCGTACTTGGTAGTGCAACCAACTCGGAAGTCGACTAGATGAAGTCACCACTTGACGTGAGCAGATGTGTGTCCTCACGGCTGTAAAGAGAAGGTTGGCCCAGATGTGCCATCGTTAACAGTCATGTGCTCTCTGAGTCCACGTGCGGCTGCCCAGTGGAAGGAGGGACATGCGCACTTGGTAGGGTTCAAGAGGGCACAAGCCCCGGCACGCAAAAGCTAGAGGGAGATGGGCTTCGACTTAGAAGAATTTTCTAACACTTCCCACAAAATTCCCAACAACAGAACACGCTGAGTCGTGAAGCGGTGAATACAACCAGCACAAGCCGCAGCTGAGCGGAGGTCAATGACTGCTGTCTGTCAAGAGTGTTGCAGAAAGAATTCACGTGGTGGCTGGAAAGAAAGGCTAGAGCACGTCGCTAAGGGCCGTGAGAGGGGCTGTGGTCATCACCACATTGACTGGCTCTGCCCAGAGAGAGAGAAACCTCCTCCCCATTGAGAACACCCGAGGTGGACCCAGCTCCAAGTCCTCCTGGGCCCGCACGGGCAGCTCTGACCCCAAACCCACAGCAAACATCCCTTCACGTCCCAGGGCTGGGTCCAAGAAGGGGACTCGGTTTGGCTGGTGGGTGTTGGGGTTTTCTGCTCTGCTTGCCAGGCTCCCGATCCAAGGCCCACATGGCAGGAGACTGGCTTTTCTGATGGATTTCCCTTCACTGCCCAGTTTGGGAGAACAGATGCTCTGGGTCAGACCAGCGGCCATAAATTTCTGGGAAATAATTCTTAGTGACTAGGAGGAAAGTCATAAAACACTCTGGAGGCAGGGACAGGAGAGAACAATGGCAGAGGACAATGCGCCGGATTACCGCTAAATGCCGGATGATCCCCGTGGATCGCCGTCCTGGCCTGCGCTCCTACTCGGGGAGCCCGTGCCAAACACAGTGCTCCGGGCACAGGGAGGAGACGGGGCCCGGCACCTGGGGACTCTTCCTCTTCCTTTACTGTGCTTTATTCCACAGAGTTACTGAAGCCTCCCTCATGGCAGGCCCCAGACCCCAACCCTTGCCCTTGTGCAGCTGATATTCCAGTCACCACCTGCTGGAAGGGAGGGAGAGAGGGAGGAAAGCTAACATTTCTGGTGCCCGTATTGTGCCCAGATTTTTGCAGACTCACCTCAAAGGGCTGATTTTCACAATGACTCCAAGAAGCCTCCCCACATTATCTTTTAAATACACAAGGAAACTGGAGGGTGTTGTCAGCCGACGGAACGGGCCTCTGACTGCTCTCTCTGCAAACCGCAGCCCTGCACCTCTGGCCGCACCGGGCCCTCTGCCTGTGCGGTTTTGGAGCCCAGCCCCTCCACCCCCAGTGACAGATAAGGACAAGATCCCCCCAGAGTTTCTGCAGCGCTCATCCCGGCCCCTCCTCGTTAACTCAGTGCTGAGTGCTATTTGCCTAGAGCAGCCAACACAGGTGACCCAGATGTTTCCAGTGTCACTGTCAATCCTGCTCTTCATTCACTTTTATCTCCAGTCTCGCTGCAACTCCAAATTCTCAAGTTCAGTGCTCCTAGCTCACACCTGCCTCTGGCCCTTGGTGTTCCTCCCTGGTCTTCCTGGCTTTTGAATGTCAGCTACCCCCTATGGGTCTGCCCAGTCCTCAGCATCCACCTGGTCCCATGGAGCTGTTCCTTGGTTGCTTCCACCCTCCCAGCAACTGCTCCTCTGGTGCCCCACCCAACCTCCCCCCACAGGGGCGACTGAGTCCCCATCCCCTGGCCCTCCCCCCAGGCACATGGGGTCCACGGACAGATTGCCACCCCAGCTCCAGGACGCACAGAGAGTAACTCACCGAAGTTCTCCCCACCCCAGATGTCCATGTCCGTGTCATACTTCCCCAGGTAATCGAACCAGGATTTGTCCATCACGAAGAGCCCTCCAGCTATGATTGGAGTCCTGTGCAGAGAGAAGGGGGAGGGGGAGGGCCAGTGATGGGAGGGGACCATGGCCACATTCTTCTGCCCCAGCCGTCTGGAACTCAAGGTCATTTCCATTTTTGCTCCTCTTCAGGGAAAAGCCAGAGCATTTTCCAACTTACCTACAGCACGAACATGCTCCCGGGGTTTTCCCTTTCATGAAAAACCATGCACACAGCCCAGCACACCTCCCGTGGGGGACCAAGACTCGCTTAGACACTGGCCACCCCACCAGGCCCTGCCCAGCACGGCTCTCTGGGGGGCTCCCTGTTTGGGGCCAATGACCCGGCAGAGAAGAAAGGCTGAGGCCGCACTTGACAACAACACATCCATTTCTTAAGACTGGGCTCCTCTTCCTTTTCTTCCCTCTTTACCCCTCTGTTATGGCTTGTGTTCCCCTACAAGACATACTGGGGTCCTACCCCCTGTACCTCAGAATGTGACCTTACTTGGACAGAGGGTCTTTACGGAGGTAAGTGACTTACAATGCAGTCATTAGCGTGGTCACCATGGGGCCGGCAGAGAGACGGCAGATCAGGTCAAAGCCATGTACACAGGGCAGAAGCAGCCCAGAGGCAATGCCACTGCCATGTTCTCGCACAGAACAGAGCAGATGTGTCTGTTAACAAGCAGCAGTGCCCTTGCCCTGATATCAGCCTCCACTTACTGCCACGGCTGCCTTGACCTCCCTGGGCTGAATCCTGACATCCGAGACCTGGGTGCTCTGCTCTTGGCACGAAGGGACCTTTCCTCTTGTCGGAGGCTCAAGCGGGACCACCTGGGACCCTCCCACATTTAGCATGAAGCGTGAGCACGTCACGGCGTGTTTGTGTGAGAACAACACTGGGCGACTCCCCAGCACAGGTCTCCCTCCACCAGAACCCCGGCCCCTTAATGGAAGTCTCCCCGAGGACAGAAACCTCCTGAAATGAAGGGAAACGAGGTGCAGGCCTGGCTATGGGCTCTCTCGGTCTCTGCCCAAACTTCTGCGCATCTAATGTTGCTATACCGCGCGACAGCGGGAGGGACCCAGCGGGAATGAGTCGGCCCACCCACCCTTGCCCTGACCTACCTAATGGGCTCAGCGGGGTCCAGGCGGCGAGCCTTCTGTTCCGGGGAGAGCTGCTCCCATTGGAAGTGGAGGCTCCAGTCAAACCCTGAAACACAGCGCCCGCTCGGTTGCTTTGGTGTCTCAGGTGTACCTGCAAAGCTTGCTCATCCTGTCCCTATTCTACAAGTCTGTGAATGTACCCAGTGTCCTGGGGAAGCCAGTCCCAGGGATATCAAGTCTCGCCCCCACTGATCACAGCTTCCTTCTCTTTCTCTGCCTGCTCCCGTCTCTCTGCGCCTTCCCTGCTGGCTGCAGTAGGAATGAAGGGTAGAGGACAGAGACACGTGATGAGGACAAGATGGACAGTAATGGAGTGTGGCCCTTGGCCAGGACCATCGAGGAGGTGGAAGCACGAGGTCTGGAGGGGCTGAATCACCTAAAGTGGCTGGTCTTGGGGTAGGGGCCTGGGCAGAGAGCTGAGGTGGGCCTTGAGGAGAGGGTGGTGTCTGATGCTGAGATGCCAGAAGAGTTCAGGGCCCATGTAGCGAGGGGGCCTTGCTTCCCTCACCACCAGGCCCCGGAGTGAGTAAGCTGGTGCTAAAGCTGAGCTCTGGGGGCTGGAGCTCGCCCTCCCCTGGCCCCTCCGTTCAGGCCCAGTGGTGAGGGCCACACTGGAGCTACAGGTATTATAGGATGCAGGGCAGGAAGTTCCAGACAAACCACTGGGAGGAAAGATTTTGTCACTTCTCCCTTTGACAGCAATGACTAGGGGGAAAAAGCAAGTCCTTTGGGGAGAAGGCCGTAGCCCCACTCACCCCCTCGGAGCTCTGCGGCAGACTCGATGTAGCTGAAGGTGTCCAGGTTGATGATATCGATCACAGGGCACACCACCCGCGTGTTGTCCTGTCAACAGCAGACCCCGAGCTCAGTGTGCGGAGTGGCGGACCCCCGGGAGCTCGGTAGGGCCTCCCCCTGGTAGTGCCAGAGACTGGTTTTGGGGCCTTGACCAGACACTCTCCTTCCTGGGTGTCAACTTTCCTTCCCATCTATAAAATGGGGCATCGGACACTGTGACCCCTCTAGTTCCAATACCAAAAAATGCTGAGAGCCTTTTCTTGATGTCTGGCATGACGGCCGTCTAAGTGTAGTGGAGACACCGTGGAGGCTGGCTCAAGAGTGATGCACGCTGGGAAGGGGGACATCGGGAAGGGGGGCTCCAGAAGTCCTTCACTGTCAGGGGGTACTCAACTGGGAAGGTGACCCCAAGCCTGCAGCCCCAAGAAGCAAAGCCACTTATCCACAGAGGGAACCTCTTGGGATTTCCAAATACTTTCATCCTGTGCTTATGCTTCTAGGCAAGCTGATGGAGAGTGTTCTCAGAGCCTCCTGCCTTCAGCTGCTACCTGTGGCACTCACAGATCTGCACCTCCAGCCCTGACCGCCCTCCTCGCTCCCAGGCTCAGACCCAGTGGGCCGAGAACCACCGCCACGTGGATGTCACACAGCCTTTCAGTGGCGGCTTCGTCATCGTCTCCCCAAATGGGCTCCTTCCCCTCGGTTCCCTGTTTCTGTTCACAGTCAGGACATACCCCACTTCCTCCCCAGCACTAAATTCAGAAGCTTCATCTCTGTCCATCAATCGAAACTGCTCATCTGAATGAATCCTGCCTCTCCTTCAGCGCCTCGCACCTGCCGTGGACCCCTAGCCCCTCCCCACCCCATCTCTCCCTTTCCCTGTCAGTCCACAGGTGGCTGACACAGTTGTCTCTCTGGCATGCAAATCTCACTCTGCTGCTCAACAGCTAAAGACTTGAGTCGCCTCCAAGATAAAGTTCCAACTCCTTCGCTGGCATCCAAGACCATCAAAAACAGGCCTGTAGCTAGCTTCCCAGCCTAAGTGCTGGCTCCTCCCTGCAGGCTGCCCTGTTTGTCGGCATCAAAGTCATCCAGAGGACATTTTCAAAATCTACAAGACAGATTCACCACCTCCTGGGGACCGCCAAGGCATTAAATATTGTAAATGTTCCCTAATTCTGAGTGAGCGTCTCTGTACCTGGTGTGTAGGAGGGGAAGCTGGACTCCCACGGGCAGAGTGTGGTGCACATGAACATGGAGAGCTGACAGCTAAGTATATGGAATCCTGCAGCGGCAGAGGGCCAGACGGGACCACTTCTCCAACCCCCTGCACCCACCACCCCTGGCTGGCACAGGTGGGAACCTCTGTCTCTCCTTGCATCCTTTTAACTTCCTGGGCCAGTCTTCCCTCCGAATGAGGCTGTCTTCTTATTTTAAGCCCAGATCCACCAAATGCCTGCTGTTACGTTCACAGATTTGATTTGGCCCTCAGCCTCCCTCTGTGACTCATCCTGACAGTGACGAGGTGCCTCCGAAGCCAGTCGGCCCACGTGGAAACAAATGCTCATTTTCAATGCATTGCTTCCACCCCTGGGATGTGCACAGCTGCCTCCTCCGTGGCCAACACAGCCCCTGCCCAGCTGCCACCGTCCTCTGGGGCTCCTCGCAGGCCACGGTCATCATGCATCGGTGTGTGTGTGTGCACATCTCACACACACACACACACACACACACACACACACTGCCGTCCACACCAACATCTACACAGACATACCCCCAAGACATTGCTGTGACTTGAATTCTGAAACGTTCTCCGGAATTCAGAGTCTGACCTTATTCTGCGGGTCTGATAACATCCTCATTTTGCTTTTGTTTGCTGAGTTTTGAGGATTCTGCAGCTTCATTAAGTCCTATATAGACCCTTGTACAGGAAAGGACTAACCTTACTCAAAGATACATTTGGCCCTTGCCCAGCTCCTTCGAGAGAACTTCTAAGCCCTTGAAATGTCCTGCCTGTAACAATATCTCTACTTGGTGGAGCCTTGGGCTCCACCAGATAGTCTGTGCTAACAGAGAGATTTAGGGCGAGGGCCTTGGCCACGTGGTACCAACTCAACTTGACCTCTGGAGGTACGTGGACACCATGGGGGTGATCAGTCATATCTATGTGATGGACCCCCAATAAAAACCCTGGACATCAAGGCTCAGGTGGACTCCCCTGTTTGGCAATACTCTCTGCGTGACATCACACATGTGTGCTGGGAGACGTGAGCAGGGTCTGTACCACGACTGGGACAGGACAACCGGAAATCTGTGCCTGGGACTCTCCCTCTGTACCTTTCCCTGCCGCTGATGTTAATCTGCATCCTTCCGCTGTCATAAGCAGTAACAGCTTACATGATTGTAACAGCTTTGTTAAGTGTCAAGTCTTTCTAGTGAACTATTGAAGCTGAGGGTGGTCTTGAGGACCCCCAAACCGCAATCCTGCTTTTTAAAAAAATCTTTCTTCACTATTTGGAAGTTGAAATACAAAATAAAATGCAGGTTTCTTACGTCATCCATATGCTTCCCTAGAAGCCAGCCACGGGCTTCTGCCTCCGGGGCTGCGGCAGGCTCTGCTACGTGCTCCCTGTAAGTTCTGAGGGTTTCTGTCCTATTATTCCTGGGACATTTTGATAACAGCATCTGCTTGGAGCCATGGAGGCCAGATAGACAATGAGAGAGGTTTGGGGCTAAGTGCTGTGGAGGGCCATGACCTTGAGAAGGGGCTGCAGGAGGCTTTCTGAATGACCCATCAAAGCCAGGACACACATCTGTCTGAGTGACCCTGGCAGAGGGGTCAGTACCTGCTCCAATGTCACGTCGCTCAGCCCCAGCCCAGAGCCGGGTGGGCGGCAGGTGTTCACTTGGTGTTGGCTGAGAGAGGCCCTCTATTAATTCCTGCTGAAGGCTCTGTGTCATGGCTGGAGGCAACACAGGTGGCTCAATCACAGCTGAGCAAGATGGCCTCCCCCCCTGTAGGCTAAGGGATGGAGGGGCTCTCTGTAAAGATACTCATGCCCATCACAGATCCCCACCTGTGTCCCCCAGGAGGCTGTATCTTTAAGGCTATGTCCACGGGTAGGCGAAGCAGGCAAGCTGGTGGGATCCTTAGCAGACCCAGAACAAAGTTCTCATCTTCTCCCCTCCCCCATTCATAATCCACGCCCAAGCCCCGCCCCTCCACGGGAGCCAATGGCCATGGATCAGCCCTGCAGGCACGCCTCTCATTTCTCTATCCATTCATATAATTAAAACCACATTGTGGATGGGCAATCAAAAAACTCCTGGAGACTATCATTCCTTCACTTTGTGAACCAACATTACTGAGCACCTATGATAGTTTAGAACTTGTGGCAGGTACAAGGATGAGTAAGACCTTGCAGTCTAGGGACGGTAGTGCACAGGTGAGCAGTTTTACGATGAGGTCTCTAAGCTAGCCTGGAGGGCAGGGTGGGGGTCAGGAGAGGATCCTCAGGAGGTGGTGCGGTGGCAGGAGACCTGGGTTCCTGTTTGGGTTCTGCCATCTAAGGTGCACATGACCTTAAGCACATCGGCACACAGCGAGGCGCTGTTTCTTCCTCTATGAAGTGGGAACAAATTAGTCTTTGCAAAACTGTCCTGCCTTCCCAAGAGGGTTTTTGGGATAATTGAGGGTTTGAAGCACATGTAAGCCATTGTTTATATCAACTTACCAAATGCTACAGGACTCACATTTCTTAAAAATATCGTTTTCTAGTAAAAAAGTATGTAGATAAGGAAGGGAAAAAAGCCTATGTTTTTTCAAAAGCCAGCGTGGTGCTTTTTCAAGCACCACCGTGTCATTGAAGGGGACAGAAGGGAAATCGAGATTTTTCCATGAGGAAAACACCAGCCGAGGACAGATTCCGACAGCTTAAGCCTAGCCTCTTTCTTATCGCCTTTCTATTTTTGAAAATCCCAAACCCCAATTACAGCTTAAAATTTCCACTTCCACTCAGAAGATCAAATCGTACTTTCCTCTGAGACGAGACACATAGGAAGACACGTGGAGACGCAGGGTGGTGCTCCCCCCCACCCCTTTTCCTGAAAGGGATGTCCCAGTGGAGCCATTCGGCCACCAAGAGTCAGGGCCTGGTGACAACCTCTGTGGGAGCAGAGCGAGGGCCACTGGTCAGGGTCTGCCTGACCAACCCTCTGCAACGAAAGCTTTAGATCGGACAGCAGTGAGAACCGGCATTTAGCCTGGGAGGCTGAGCTCAGTCTTGGGAGCTCAGTCCGGGAGCCCAATGACCCCCGGAGCAGGGGCCCTGGGTGGCAGGCAACACTCATAGGCAGGAAGGAGGAGGTAAAGGCGTCCCCTGCCTACAGGGAAGGCCGGCCACCGACACAGAAGTGGGGGCATTTTTCAGACAGGGCTTCTGAGGCGGACTCAGACCCCGGGAATGAAAAGGGCCTGGCAGGTACATTCAGGCTGCCTGAGGAAGGCAAAGCCCCCTTAACACATCCCGCAGGGACACGTCAGCCCAAGGGATCCTATAGGTCAGACACCGAGTTACCACATGACCCAGCAATTCCACTCTGTACCCCACCCCAAAGTGGAAGCAGGCACCCCGACAAAAACCTGTACTCCCATGTTTGCAGCAGCGTTATTTGCAACAGTAGAAAGGGGGAAGCGACACAAAAGTACATCAGCAGATGAACGGATAACAAAACGTGGTGCTGCATATACTGTGAAGATGTGACATAACAAGAAATATATGTTGGCTTTTGTTCCTGGGTCATCAAACACAGCTATTAAAACCCTTATAACATCCTGAGCCAATGGGATGAGAGGAGCATCTTTTGTTCCTAAGCCCCTTTCACATACCTGAGTTTATGCTAATTAGGGACTCCGGGAGGAGGATGGGGGCTGGTTGTCGGAGGAGCCAGACTGATCAGAAGGCTGGAACTTTCACCCCACCTCTGCCCCCCTCACCTCTCCCTCCAAGCTCCCCTCCACCCCCCACCTCAGCGAGGGGACAGCTACTAGAAGGTCCAGTTCCATCGTCAATGGCCAATGGTATAATCAATCATCCCTGTGTGATGGAGCCTCCGTAAAACCCCATGAGCACAGGGTTCTGAGCAGTTCTGGGCTGATCAGCCAAGGGGGCCTGCCTGAGACGGGGTCTCCCTCCCTGGCGGCTCTGCCTGAAACAGGTGCTCAGTAAACGCCTGCTCATTCCGAGGCAGGATGTGAGCCTGCTTTCCTCCCACTGCTACCTCATCACCTCCCCGCCCATGGTCATTTCTGAACACTGGGCCCCGACAGGACATCAAGCAGGGTGACCACAGGAGGCGACTGTGCCCCCAGTGGGTTGTAGGCTGTCAGGGGAGACAGAGAACTAAACCCAGAGAAGAAACTGCAGGGCCAGTGGGCAGTTCTTGCCTGGAGGGACCCCAGCTGGCTAGGGCTGGGAAAGAGCTCCTGGAGGAGGGTGACCTGGGAGAGGCCCTGGAGAGTACGGGTGTGTAGAGAGGAGCGGAAGGGCTCCCAGGGAGGGGAAGGGCGTGGTCAGAGCCGTAGCAGCAGGAATTCAGCGCATGTTCAGAGGGGCGGAGCGGCCCAGGGTGAGTCTGGGGAGGCCGTGCTGTGGCTGCAGGCTGAGCCTGAGGGGAGGAGAGGGTTTGGAAGGGCCTCCGGATCCAGGCAAAGCCCCTCCCCTGAGTGGTCCATTCATAACCTTCTGTTTCTCAGTGCAGATCCCTCCGCCAAGATAATGTCCGAAAGTGGTGAGAGGGGGGTTTGTAAACAGCACTCAGTGCATGAACACCGCCACCCCCCTCCCCCACCAGCCGTGGGGAAAGTGGTCACAGGGTGGGTTTTCACACCTAGGCCCACGTGTGAGAACTTCGTAAACCCACCGAGCTTCCCTCCCAGGAATGAAGGCAGTTGACAAGGATTTCCTAGCCCTCTGGCAGGTGGCACGACCCAGTTCTTTCGCGCTCGCCACACTGCCCTTTTGCAGGCCGTGTGGAACACACCATAGGAAAGTGGGCAGGGCGGGGAGGAAAGAACCACAGCACAGGCGACAGCGAGGGTTCCAGTGGGAACATCAGCCCAAGTTACATATTTCCCCCCCAGGACTGGGTCCTCATCTGTGATCTGGGATGTCAACAACACCCAGCCTCACGTTTCAGGACGGCTGTCGGACGCAGTAACTCGGGAGAAAGTGGGTACCACGGGTGCTCACCGCCGGCACTGGCCCCCAGCACCCAATAGCGTCTTTTGTACATCAGGATGGGGGCGGACAGATTTGGGGGAATATAAAATAATGAGAGGAAAATTCCTAAAGTTTTTTTTCACTTTCAAGAAGAATAACTGAGACCCGGAGAGAGAAAGAATACAAAATTCCAGAGTAATTTAAGGACAGACAGAGGCAAGGAATTCAGGTCTCTGCACCCAGTTGGCCTGCCTTGGCCCCGGGGTGAGGGTGACATGTGGGTGGAGGCAAAACCCACAGGCTAAGTGATGAGGCCTGGTTACTTCCGCTGTCTCCTTTTCACAAAGGCACTCCTCAGGGCTTCCTTTCTGGAACCTTCTATCGTCTGGGAGAGACAGTTTTGGGCAGCTGGGTCCCTAGGCCAGGAAGCTGTGTGTGACAGTGTAACACAGCAGGCCCTGGGCCTCGTCCCACCGCTGCCTGCTGTGTGTCCCTGGGCAGGCTGCTCTGCCTCAGTTTCCCCACCTATAAAACTGGGACAGTCCTCTGCCTCATCCAACTCCTAGAGGGACCAGGGGCCTAGGTGAAGTACTGAGTCTGCAGAGAGTGGGGGTGCGGGATCCCTCCGCTTCTCGGTGGGCCGCACTCACCTCTTTGACCCTGTGCAGCAGCGGCTGCAGCCAGTCCCTGTTCACCTCACAGTGGCTGTCGAGGAAGGTCAGAGTGGTGCCCTGGGCAACATCGGCACCCCGGATCCGGGACCGCACCAGACCTGCAAAGGGGACAGACGGCCAAGTGGGTGCCCGCGTCGCTCCACCTTCCAACAGGCCCACGGAAGAACCCCTCAGCATTTTCCCCACATGTGGGACACACTCCCAAACACACACATACACGCACACACAGCAGCAAACCACCCTTCACCTCCCCAGGCCCCGCCAGCTGCCCGGACCCACCTTGCCGCTGGTTATTGCGCAAGCACTTCACCTTGGGCAGCTTGATGAGCTCTTTGCAGTCGGCGGCTGCAAAGACACAAGGTTATGTGAAGTGAGCACCTGGGGATGGAGGTGAACCTGAGGAGAAAATAGGGCAGCCCTGCCTGCCATCCCTGCCACCGACTGCAGAGGCTGGCAGATGGCTGAGATGAATTTTGGAGCTTCAGACCATGAACTCTTAACACAGGAGACCCTGTGTGTTAACGGGTCTGTCCACAGTGTCTCCCACCACACGGAGCTGGTCCGACTCCCACCTCGCAGGAAATGTGCCAGGATGCACAGGGGACCCGGCCGCAGGCTTATGCCTGGGGTCATCCTCTAGCTTGCCCGCTGCCCCAGCACTCGTCCGGCTCACCACCCCTTGGCTCCGAACTCTATGCTGCGATCCCACCGCGCTGGTTTTGCTTCACCGGTTTGCCAATGTTAGGCTCTCTGCTTGGCTTGGGACTTTCCTGAGTGACAGCAGAGACTCAGAGGAGCTTTCCTGGGGCCAGGTACTGTTCTAAGCACTTTGAGTGTGTTAACATAGTTAAATCCTTAGATAAACCATATCTATTATCATTATAATCTCAACTTTATAGTCGAGGAAACTGAGACACATCAAGATTAATAACTTCCCCAAGGCACGCACCTAGTAAGGTAAGTGACAGGTCTAGGATTTGAAGCCAGGCAGTCTGGCTCCAGGGTCCACGCTCTAACCACCAGCCTATTCTGCCTCCCTGTGACTCCAGCAGCATCCCCTCCCGCAGCCTCAATGCCAGGCTGCCTCCCAGCAGGACAGGCACCTCCAGCCCCTTCCTCACAAGGGAAAGGAGATCAGGTCCCTGAGGTGCTGCACTCGGGTCTGGCGTGGACCTCCTACACGGCCCACTTACGTAATCCTTCCAAGGTTCCCAGGCTCTGTCACGGACGTGGGGCACCAGACTCCCTACAGCCCAGCCCAGCACAGTAGTGCCTCCCACACCCAGCCTCCAGCGTCAGCACTGGGACAGACTGCGCTCTCCCGGGACGTGGAGCTGTCCCCAGGGACCCTTGTTTGCTTCCCCTGGTCATCACTGGGAAGGGACGGTCCTGCCTGGGTGTGGCTGACTGCTTGGAACTGTACCCATGGCTCTCAGGAGAGGTGTCGGCACTGTTAATACCTGAAGTCTAACAATGCTTCTGTAAGTATTGTACCTGTCAAACTGTACACACAGATGCTTGAAAACACCTGCAAACTTTTCTGGGGGGAAAGAGGATTTAGAGTATGAGTTTGGGTGGCACCCAGGTTCTTCAATACGACAACTAGGAGACAGTGATGACCGGTGGGTTGCAGGGTTGGAAGGCATGGCCAGGTTATGGGATGCCCCCTGGAGATCCCAAAGACAGAGAGAGCGCACCCAGCCCTCCCACAGAGAGGGTGCGCTAGCCTCAGCTCAGGCTCGCAGGTGATCACAGCACTCTGGACAGGAATCTTCAGTGACATCATTGCTCCTGGGCATCAGGGCCGATTCTTTGAAGGTGCAGTTCCCACGCCCAGGAGTGCAGGCCAAGGAGCAGTTGCACACACGCATGCACACACCAACCACAACTCGAAGTTTCCATTCCTGCCATAAACCCAGGCTTTCCTCCGTCCCCAGGGAACCGTGGGCTCGCCTCTGGCTGTCACTTGGGAGCTGGAACAGACATTCGTGTCTACAGAGCAAGGGGGCGATGTTACTTACGGTCATTGCTGAAGTCATCCACCAGTATGATTTCCTTGATCAGATTCATAGGGGTGCGGTTTAATACGCTGTGAGGTGGGAAGAGGAATGGTCATTATGACTTCTAGTGGCAAGTACAATATATGTGCATTACATCGTGTTTTAAATAGGCACCATTGCATTGGAGGAATAAAAACTCAGAGCAGCCAAAGGGCTTGTCCAGGCCCACTGAGTCCCTGGGACCCCCTGGTGGAGAAAGCTGCTTTGTGGTGGTGAGGACCCACCACCACCCACCCGGCACCCAGGCAGACATACAGGAGCCGTCCTCCACAGCCCTGCCGCTCCCTGACACTCCACCCCAAGTCAGTGCCCCAAACGGCTGGTTCAACTTGAAAATGTCACCCAAGTCACTTTCACCTCTTATCCCTGCTCCAGCCTCTTTCGTACAGTTTATTACAGTGGCCTTGACCTGTCCAGGCCACCCTCCCGCGGCCTCCAGGGTGAGCTTCCCGAAGCACAGATCTGATCTGTTATCCTGTGACTTGTCTCGCTGAGACAAATATATAACTCGACAGCCTCCTCCAGGGGCTCCCCACTATCTACGCCCCAAACCCTCGGCGTGCTCTTCAAGGCCCGTCACAGCCTGCAGCTAGCTACTGTTTCCGCCCACTCACACCCAAGGTCCTTATCTAGACACACCCTGCTCACTCCCACCCCGAGCCCGCTTCCCTCCCGCTGTCTGTCGCGGCTGGAAATGCCCATCCTCTGCCACGAGGACCAGTTCAAATGTCACTTCCTCCCTGACAGCTTTCCACCCCACTTCATGAGAATTAATTGCTTCCTCCTCGGGCTTCCTCAGCAGTTTGCAGCTGAAGCTTCCTGCGGTTTCCACTGCTGCCTGACTCTGCGGGCTGGTTTTGCTGACCCTGTGGATGGTTAAACCCCCAGGGACGGATCACATCCTTGTCAGGTTCCCTCTGTATCTCCAGAGTTCAGCACAGCCCCTTCCTTGGTCCGTAACCATCCCCTCCAGAGACACTTAGTGCACACCTACTATGTGCTTGGGACTGGTTACACAATGAGGAACAAAGGAGACACGGGCTCTGCCTTCCAGAGGCTTGTGGTCCAGCAGCTACTTACTGCAGGCTGTGTAAGCCTGTCTAAGTTACTTTACTGCCCTGCGCAGTAAAGTCTCTCCATCTAGAAAGTGGGACAATAAGAAAAGCAGGCACTTCTCAGGGCTACTGAGAGGATGAAAGGAGAAACCGCATCCTGTCTGGCACCCAATGATGAAACGCGGTGGCAACGACTGCTGTTTGTGCATCGTAATGATTTTCTGAATTGACTTTGTTTACTGGGACAAGGCCGGGTTTTGGAGTCCACTCTGGGTGTCAGGCCTGACTGAGACGGCTGGATCCCGCTTCTCCTGAAAACCCTCCAAAATGTATGTTCCCTCAGAAACCCTCGTGGGCCACACCGCCCACCAAGGGACGCCCAGAGCCGCCTAGGGTTGGGGAGGCGGTTCAGAGGGGTGGGGCCCCCGTGCTACGTGCGTCCCTTCTCTCTGGAGGACCGTCCTGAGCTCTGCTTCAGGTGAGGCGCTTTTCTAAATAGACTGCAGAGACTCTCCAGCAGAACCTTGCCTGGAGCTACCTTTATTTATGAAGGCCTTAATTCTCACCATGGCAACGGCAACAGTGTGTAAGGTGGAGAGAGGAGCCCCAAACACCAAGCCTTGAGTCCACCGTTGGGAGGTGAGAACCAGGAGGGGTAGGAGGTGGAGGAAGGAGACCCTCACCGTGACCGTCCCGGGAAAACACGGGCAAACTCCACAACCAGCCCTCTCATCAGAAAGGGGGGCGGAAAGAGAGGGGAAACCTGCTTGAAGAATACCCTCTAATGAGGTTTGATTACGGCTCGCAGCTTCTGCATGTGATTCCCCAAATCCCTGCCGGCTCTTTGAAATTCAAGAGTTCTCTTCTGCGAACATCAAAAGGTAAATCGCGTGTGGCTCTGCACTGGTTGAACTAAGAGATGATTAGTGAATAAAAAATGTCCAGGGTTTAAAAAAGAAAAAAAGGAATCGTCAGCAGTAAGTGCTAATTAGACCATTTCCTGGTAACACCTGGCTTGTTTTTGCTCCTCTAATCAGAGCAATTGGAGTGGTGGGGGAGGTGGGGAGGGGGCCACTCCGCTGTGTTAAAGGGGCTCTGGGCTCCTGGGGTGGCTGGCGAAGGAGGAAGGTCCAGGTCCTCCCAGGGGCCCTCTCTTTAGCACCCCCCACGCCCCTTCCCCCGACCCCGACCGCTCAGGCCTCTCCTCTGCTGTCATGACTTCGGCCAGCACTTCTCACCAGCCCCTTCCACAGTGAAGCCGACTGTCCCTTTCCCCAGGGCCCAGCTGAGCATGTTTTTTTTTTTTTCCTGTTTCAGTCCCTGGGGCTGTTCCATGCCCTTTCCTTACACAGCCTCAGCATGGGAGTGAGAGCTCATGTCACTGGCATATCCAGGTCACACGGCGCCTGGGAATCATTCTGCAACTGAGTCTCCTGTACACCACTCACATCTCTGCCAGAGGACCCGGCGGCCGTGCGGGCAGCCGCTACACCTTCTGCTTTCTGCCTGCTGCCTTGACTGTGAGGCCCACACGGAGCGCCCTGAGAGGTGGCGGCAGCCCGGCGTGGGCGGCACGGGAGGCCAGGCAGCCTCCACTGCCTCCTACCTGTGCAGTCCCGAACAAGACGCCGGGCTGCCTTCCTTTCCAGCTGTAATTACATTTTCCTTGTAAAGGCGGGCGATATTAATACTTGACCTACTTCACAGGCTTTTGTGCGTAGGAAATGAGGAAATGTATTTGAAATTGCTTTGTGAACTCCGTGGTGCTATACACAGGCAGGGTTTATCAAACGCTTCATAAATGCCAGTTGAATGAAGACCCCCGGCTGGTAGAGCAGTTGACTCGTTCTGGAGCCAGACTGGCCCGGGTGGAGGCACCGTGCCTGTCCGCCCTCCATTCACGAGATGGAGAGCTTCAGTAAGTACTGAGCCTTCGGCGCAACTTCCTCGACTGCACGACAGGCCCCTGGCAGGTGCATGGCGCACAGCGGCTGCTCTCAAATCTGAGTATTGATAATGAGACCAGTTCTCCAAGTGTGACCCTGGAGCCAGTAATATCGGCGTCACCTAAGAGCTTGTTAGACATGTGTCTGTCTTCTTGGGCCCCGCCCCAGCTACTTACTGAGCTAGAGTACTGGGGAGGGGGCCCAACAAACTGCATTTTGACAACCCCTCTGGGAGATCCCGACCCCTGCTCCAGTTTGGAGCTGCATTAGGGTGCTGCTGCCTACCTGCTGGAGGCACATCACCTGTTGTCCCATGTATGGGCTCAGGTATTGTTTTGAGGCCTTTACCTGCCTAAGCTCATTCATCCTCCTCCACAATCACGCAAAGTATTTATTACCAGTAGCCCTTGTTTTGCAGAGAAAGACAATGAGGCAGGGAGGTGAAGGGGCGTACGCAGGGTCACACAGTTGGTAAGGGCCGAGCAGGCAACTCTGGCCCCAGAGTCCAGTTTCTTAACCACCTCAACCTGAGAAATTGCTCCTCTAAATCGAGGACTTTACAAAAAGCAACAGGAAGGAGACTCAGGACATAAGTGTATAAATGGTGTGGGCTCCGGAGCCCCCATGGGAGGTGTGGAGCTAAAGGTGCCTCCTCCCTGGGTTTCACATATACTCGGGGACCCACTGCAACGCCAAGGATAAACCATTTTGGGGGGCTTTCTCTCTCTCTCAAGTGAGAAAAGTGCCCTAATTCATCTAGGTCGTGATTCCCTCTCTCTCCCCACATCGTCCACCCCATCGTGCCTCTGCCTGGCTCTGAGTGCCCCCAATGTAGGCAGCCCCCAGCCCTCAGCTGACTCAGGGGCTCAGAGGTCGGAGGGCGTGGACAGGCATGCGCAGAGAGGTGAAGGCCGGCCAAGCGCTGGGCTGGAGGGAGGAGAGGAACAGTCACCCACTCCCCGCCCCTAGTTCCTCAAGTATCTTTTGCTTTTCAGGGCCTGGCAGCAAAGCCATCCAAAATTTAGAAGATTAAAGATGAAAGATACCTTAGAAAAGATCCTTTCATCAATGGTGAGATGATAGGAAGAGCTTCTCATTCAGCCCCCGCTCAGGATCTAGTGACTCACTTGTGGGACAGGGCAGGGAGGGGAAGGAGGTACAGAGTCCCGAGGCAGATGATACCTGGCTGTGGAAGCTTTTAGAAATACTGGTCTTCCTTCCCCCCACCCCTGAAGCTCACTTCCATCCAGCCTGCTGAGGACGTACACAGAGGTCTGTTCACACGAGGCTTCCAGGCCCCTATCCTGCTACCTTTCGCATTACACCTGGGCCTGGGCCGGGGTCCTGGCTAACATGGGAAGTTCCCGAGAGGCAGGACCCAGGCCCAGGGCTCTCTCAGCCAAAGGCCCAACAATTTGGTGTGGAGCGGGGCGCTGCAGGGATACCTTCTGAGAAGGACAGTGTTGATGGGCTGCAAGCCCCTCCCAGAGAGCAGGGCACCAGGGCATGGGAGACAGACCCCCAGGCCAGAGGACAGAGGTGCTGGGCCCACACCCCTGGCTGCCCCCCACTTGCACGCAGGAAGTCGGGAGCCCGAGCCTTGGCCCCCGTGCTGCCTCACCCACTGTGGCTCCTGTCCTCCGTTCACCACAGGCACCGAAAGTCCCAGACTCCCCCTGGGGCCCTGACTCCCCCTGGGGCCCCGACTGGAGCGAGGGGTCTGCAGACTTAAAACTCAGCACAGGTTTAACCCATTGCCATTGCAAAGTGTCATTGTCACTACTATGAAGAGACGGAGGAGCAGCCGGAAGAGGAGAAGTATGTCTTAGAGCTGAAGTGGACGAGTCTGAGGGCAGTGGCTGAGGGGCCCCCAGAACGTAAACACAGTGTGAGGGAAGCTTGGGGTGCTGGGGCCTCCATATTATAATGCCCCCCAAATGTTTCTGAGGCATTCCTGAGGAAGGTTCATTGTGGGAAATGTGACGGAACTTGAGACATCTAGTATACTTTCACCATTGTCTTTATAGACGTGGCTAGTGACCTGCCCAAGGTGGACTGGAAGTGGCAGGTGGGGACTTGACCCCAGGTCCTCAGACTCCAAGTGCAGTGCCTTTGAATACCCTACAGCCTCTTTCCTTCTGCGTGCTCACCGGCTGTGCAGATACAGGGATGGCTAACGCTGATCAAGAGCTTACTCTGTGCCCACAGTTCTCAGCTCCCTAATGGTGAGTGTGTGTGTGTGTGCGTGCGTGCACAGGTGTGTGTGTACTGAGGGTTGAGGGGGACGGAGGTGCATGGCATCAGAAGGCTCCTTGAAGGAGGAGAGGAGGCCAGCCCGTAAGGCAAGGAGCTTCTCTAGGATGCCGTAGCATCCTTGGGGAAGCATCCAGTGAACATGCGCAGACATGACCTTGTGTGGTGGGGCTGTGGCTGGCCCTTTGGAACCAGCACCTCTCCTGCCGTGTGCCTGTTCTGCCTGTGGGGCCTCGGAACTCTGTTCTCCCTTCACCAGAACCGACCCGGGTGAGTGGGGCCATTACTCATCCCCACCCCACCATGTGGACCCACACTGGTTTACAAATCAGAAAGGCACATTATTGGTCTACCGGGAGACCCACAGTGACATCCGACAGTGACTCAGCACCTTTTCTTGTCAAACGCTGAAACCTTGTTAGAAAATCAAATTCAAATCCGGCGGCTTGTGGGGTGAATGCAGAAGCCAGGGCAAACAGGGCAAGTGGCAGGTGGAAGGACCTAGCCAGCCAGTCCCCAAGGACATCTGGGCAGCAGACAGAGCTGCCCCATGGACAGAGAGGAACATCAGGCTGGTGCCCGTGGGCTTGGGCAGGCCCTCCCTGCAGTTCTAAGGGACGCACTGACCCCGCACAGAGGACATTCATTGAGAGTGACAGGTGTTGCAGAGGACTGGGTGATGGCCGTCAGGGGGACCTACTGCTGATTTCCTCCTGCCTCTTGGCACTTCCCAGCTGCCCCCAGCCATGCAGGTGCATCAGGGAGGGAGGGAAGGCGTGGCTTGTTGATGGGAATGATGACGCTTTGCTGTGTTTGGTTGTCCTCTGCTTGGCCAACATCTAATCTCCTTCTCGGTGGGATCTGGAACGCACCCGATGTGCCGCCCAGCAGATCGGAAAGGGCTCTCATGGGCCGTGTGCCCGGGGAGTGGAGGTACGACAGGCACCTTCCCCCAGGCCAGCCCCTCTCTTGCTTGATGTATGGCTGAGCGCACCTGCAGCCCCAGCACCTCCCTTGGAGGTGCTCAACACCCCCATGCTGAATAGCCTGGTTCCTTTGAGGCTGCTGAGAAGAACTCATATGAGAGTGCAAGGTCCAAGCCCTGCATCCCCGTTGTTAGCTGAGCAACAGGAGGCCTTAATTCAGCACCTTCCAGTCTCAGTTTCTCAGCTGTCACATGTGCATAGTGCATAGTCCTCCTGCCTCCCCAGCTGAGAGCGTGAGCTCAGGTGTCTGCACTCAAGGGGACCTAGGGACTGGTGGCTGCTGTTAGCACCATCTAAGATGCTAATGTGAGTGACAAAAGGGTGGGCCAGATGATTTGGGGTAAGGGGGGGTTTTGGGCAGAGGGGAGGAGGGGGCATGGCATAGAGAAGGGAAGCCAAAACAACCAGCACCTTCTGAGAACCTGGGCAAAAAAATTCCCGGCCATGTCTCTGGGGCCTGTCTGTTTTAAGGGGTGTTCTGCTGGGAGCTGACCTGGCACTTTTGCATATCAAAAATGCATGCAGGCCACAGAAAAGGGCCTGCCTGTCAGAGCAATGGCATGGCCCAGGCTAGGCGCTGAGGGTGGATGGAGAGGCCCGAGGGGGAATAGGGCTGAAACAGTGGTGGCTGAGAAAGCAAACATCAGCCATTACCATCAGGCTGCTCCGATTTGCGCCCTGGGCCCTGGCGCATGGGAGGCTGTGGAGAGGCAGACGCTGGGAGAGGCAGCACCTAGACGACCTGAGTTCTAATCCCGGCCTGACTCTGGGAATGGGGGGCAACCTCAGTCTCTCAGGGCCTCAGCTCCCTTGTTAGTTGTGAAATTAGAACTCATGTTCTAGAGGCAGTCTACATAGTGGTCAAGGGCAAGGGCTCTGCTAGGATCTCTGTGATGCTCAGTGACCTTCTGCAAATTACCCAGCACCTCAGGCCTCTGTCTTCCCCCTGTAAAATGGGAGAATAGCCACCCTCGCAGGGGTGCGAGGAGAGACTGAGCGGATGCATGTATGACGTGAACAGCACCTGGCAGGGGCTGAGAACACTTCATACCCTCATCACAAGGCCAGCACCCCCAGCAAGCACACAGGCCCTCCCCAGGTGCTGGCCCTGGAGGGCTGGCCGACCAGGAAGGATAGCTTACCTGCGGATGGTCCTGAGCAGGGTGGAGCGGGCCTCGTTGTGGAAGGTGATGATGATGCTGGTGGGAGGGAGGTCCCTGCAGTACATCAGCAGAGTGCACCTGGGGAAGAGAAGGCAGGAGACCACTAAGACCTCTGGGGGCAAAGCGGGGGTCAGGGGCTGGAACCAAGGGCATCATGGTGGTCACCAGCACGGACAAATGCCTGGCATCCGATGGGGCCGCCCTAGCTGCGTAGTCCTGGGCAAGACCCCAGGGCCTCACCTGGACCTTCAGTGGGGTGGGGAAACTCCAAAAATAACTGAAGTTCAATTTCCTACCACCTGGGGGAACACGGGCTTGGTGCCAAGTTGAGACACAGAACACAAATGTGGGATTCCTCGCATGCCCCAGTTAGTACCCAGTGGTTCCTAGGGGCCGCACAAACCTGCCCCCAGTCTGTGCCCCTCCAGCTGGCAGAGGCTGCACAGGTTCTGGGCCAGCAGCTCCAGCCCACTGCACCCCACCGACCTCCTGCCCCCACACTCCCAAATTGGCCAGGCTTAAAGAGGCAAATCCCCCAAACCCTGGCATAAACAATACTTGTAAAACCCAGTCTTGAAAAATCATTCATTCCCACGTGTCCAGGATCATTTCATACGACAATTACATCTAGGGTACTTTCAATTTAATACCTTGCTGCAAGTGAAAATTGTAGCCCGCCGCCTGAAAATTACTGTAATAATGAAGATAAACCTGCCACGGGAGGCTGGTGCCACCAGGGGCTGTCTCTGAGTAAGTGTTCCCTCCCATTTCGTGCTCTTCGGGGGGCTGTCCAAGTGCAAGGACGGGCATTAAACACGGAAGTAAATAACAGACGTTTGGTGAGTCAAATATTTCCTCTCTTCATATTCCATTTCTTCCTAGGCTGTTAATTTAGGGTCCAGAAACCCGAGGATGGACTTCAAGGGGATGGTGAGCCCGCTGAAACTGTTTGCAAAGCTGTGTATACGAATGTGCATCCCTGCCTCCCCTGCTGCCCCCATGCCAGCCTCGGGAAGATGGTTCACAGTTTTGTATAGACTCTCAAAGAAGTCTGTGTGGCCTAAGATACTTAAGAACCTCATTCCCAGGTCAGTGGGCCTGATGTCCCTGTGGCCTCCCTGGTAATTCTGAGCACTTATTTCTATGAGAGCAAACACTGAATCAGAGAACTTGTTCCAAGAAAGGCGGGCTGTTCTTCTGCTCGGCACCTAAGCGCGGGCAGAGGAGCCGAGAATCAGGAAAGGAAGACCTCAGGGGAAGACACTGTGGAAAAGGTAAGTTGTGTCCTTTGGGCCTGTCTGTGTTCGTCCCAAAGAGACAAGGTCTCACCACATACTGCCAGCTCCACCTGTGACTAAAACGCCCCTGAATCTATCCTCCTCTCTCGTCCCCTTGGCCCTCCGGCCTCTGCCCCTGCCAGTCATCTCCTGTCTACCACACAGCTCTGCCCCAGCCTTCCTCTGGCTGAAGCCCTCTGGTGGCTCTTGATATACAAGTCCAACCCCTGCCACCACAGCCTTCAAGACCTGTCGTAGTTGCTCCTTAATATAGTTCCATCACTCTCTGCCACTGCTCACACTGTTACTTCTGCATGAAGCAATGTCCTTCCTCCCTTCTCCACCTGATGAGCTCCTGCACATCCTTCAAGACCCAGAGCAAACGTCCCCTCTGCAACGAAGGTATTCTATGCTCTCCCAGACAGGACAGGTTGTTACCTGTCCTTTGTGCTCCCGTAACTCTGTACACATCTCTCTCTTCTAGTACTTCTCGAGATAGGACTGTCTCCCCCACTGGACTGTGAGTTGCTATAGAGAAGAAAGACCCTTGCCCATCTCCCTATCCCTAGAATAGGAATTTAGTATACCAGATGCCCATTCACACAGAAAGGGAGAGATTCAGGAAATGCACTTCTAGCTCAGCCGATGACTTTGCCTTTTATGGTTTTAAAAGGGGTGGTAGTCAGCCTCCCAGATGGCTTCCAGTGATTCTCACCTACTGGTCCTCAGGCCTTGTACAGCTCCATCCTTCACTGAACCAGGGTTAGGCTATATGACCAATGGAATGTGATGGAAGTGACAGAGGGTGACTTCCAAGGCTAAGTCACAAAAGCACCTCAGGCTCTACCTTGACCACGTGGAGTGAAGCCGGCCCACGTGCAGAGGAACTGAGGCCCGCAGCGGGCGCCAGGTTGCCCGCCATGGGAGGAGCGAGCCTGGAAGTGAGTCTGCCGGGTCCCATCAAGCCCCAGAAGATGGCGGCTCTGGTGGCTCCAAGCCAGAACCACCCAGCCAAGATGCTCCCAATTCCTGACCCACGAAGACCATGAAGATAATCAATGATTCCCATTATTTTAAGCCACTAATTTTGGGGGGTAATTTGTTGTACATTAGATAACCATTATGAAAAGAGAAGAGAAATGCCTTGAAAGGGCCCCCAATGAGACGAGGCCTTGGACTTAGCTATCTTTGGACGCAGATCTGAGTCTGAGGTGGGGGCAGTAGGAGGGGGTAGGGCAGGTGGCTGGTCAAGGTGGATGTGGGGGGTCCCTTGGTTGGTGTGCTGCCGGGTTCATGAGGACATGGAGAGGCACGGAGAGTGGGGCAGGTGGCAGTGCACATAGTCAGCACCTTTACAGGACGGTAATAAAGCCGAGGACTTAGCAGAACCTCCCTGTCTCCACTGGAGACGGGAAGAAATAAGAGACCAAGCAGAGTGACTCATAAGGCCAGCACTGCCAGGGCTGTGTCAAGGGTCAGACTCTGAGCACCGTCTTGGAGATGGCTTCCCCTCCACACCCTGGGGGACAATGGGATCCCCCCCAACCTTTGTGATGTAAGTTATTCAGGGAAGGTGGTACTGGGACTTAATGGTTTTAGAGAGCTTTAGGGGACAAGGGACACTTTTCCTGCCTTGTAGGCATCTGGCCGGGAGACAGGTGTATTCACCCACAGTGATGCAGCCCATGGGGCTGGGGGAGCAAAGAGGTGGGCATGCCTCCACCTGGGGAGGTGAAGAAGGCTCCCTGGAGGAGGGCGAGCTGGATCTCACAGATGAGGTAGACCTGGACAGATGGCAAATGGGGTACAGCCTCCCAGTGACAGCACAGTTCTGGACCCACAGGCTGAATGCCAAGTGAGGCAGCTCATGGTACCCTGGCCTCAGGGTCTGGACACCACCGACCAGCTGTGGGACCATGGGCAGACCACCCACCTCCCCAGGCTGCTGTGTGCTCCTCTGTAAGACAGGCTCTCCTGTTCAAGGTTCTCACAGCATCGGTGGTCAAAAGCTTTGATGAGGTCTGGCATTCAGTAAGTATGGCTGACTTGAATGGAATGTCAAATATTCTGCAGCTGAGGCTCAACTCTGTAGCTGGACATCTGAACTTACTTTCTAAGCCTCAATTTCTTCATTTGGAAAGCGGAGACCATCTTTAACTTGTAGACCGCGCCCTCCCCCTACCCCCAAGATTATTAACAGATGCTTGACAAAGAGTAACTCGTTTTTAACATCAAGTTCAGATCTGCAGACCCCTCCTCCACTGGGTGGAGCCAGATCCTGCATGGGCTGAAAGGGTGAGTGGTTTGGCCAGTGTAATAGTGAGTGAGGGGTGCTGGGAGGCTAGAGGAGGAGGTGAAAGCAAAGGAGGTTGCATCGATGTCAGAGAAAGGAACCTGCACTGGGATGTCCGTGTGAAGCCTGGATCTGCCAGACGCTGGCTGTGTGTGCCCTTGGCTGTGTAATGTGCCTTCCATAAGCCTCAGTGTTGTCACCTACAAAATGTGAACAAATACCTCCCTTCCAGGCTTGTTCTGAAGACCACAGATACTGCAGGCAAAACACCTGGTGTTTCACAGCTGCTGAGTAAACGGCAGGCAGCTAGCATTATTATCACGACTGAGGCTGAGGCCGTCTCCATGCCATGCTCAGTCAGTACTCCTGAATTAGAACCACAAACTCATAGTTCAGAAAAGGAAGGGGCTTTGGAGATGGCCCAGTCCAATCTCCCCAACGGGGTAGAGATTTGGAGCCTGTGCAGGTGTGCTCCTGGGTCTCAGTCCCCTCCAGCTTCCTGTGCCCATAGGACAGAGGCTGTTCCTCCAGGCTGGGCAGGCACCCTACAACTGACACAAGCATGAGCAGGTTTTGGGGAATGCAGGCAGTAGGGTGGTACTCTGACCTCAAAAGTACAGGTATCCTGGCTCATGGGACTCAGCACTATCTACCTTCTGCCCCTGCTCACAGCTCGTGGTACCCGGGGTTACCCTATGTCTCATCTGACCGTTTCGACAGCCTCTGAGAACCTTTACTCCCCAGATGAGCACAACTGAGGCTCAGAATCTCGCTCAAGGCCACATACCTGCAGAGTGAGCTGAACCCAGGTCCTGAGACTTTTCACCCGGTATATGTCTCTAGTGTCCCACTGTGAACTCACCCTGCTTAAGGCACAAGAGCTGGAGGGGCCCACCTGCCTGAGCCCTGTGCAACAGCCACCTGCCCTCTGAGGCCAGGGGTGGGGAAGCAAAGCCCTGCCTTGGAACGAGCACTGGACATGGCGGCAACAAAGCCAAGGACCGAGAAAAATCCTTAAAACTGGACACAGTGCAGAGAGCCGGCTTTTGGAGAGAGCAATCTAAAAAATTAATCAAACAGCGAGATCTATTAGGGGCACGAGGGGGATGGAAAAGGCTGCCAACGCGGAGCTCCGGCGCCGGCAGAAGGACCAGAAAGCATGTTTATAATTTATTAAAGACTCGGGGGTTTTACGGGAGAGAAGAGCTAGCGAGCAGGAAAGATGGGCGTGGGGGTGGGACCAGGAGGCAGGACGGGCCCACCGCGGACTGTGTTGAGAGACAGACGCCAGCCCCAGGCTGCCATCCTGATTGCCACAGCAGCTCCTGAATAATGCATGCTCCTCCGAGCTGGTTTTTTTCCTTTAAAGAAAGATTCTACTAAGACTCTTGATTTCCTCAAGTTCAGCTGGGCCCCAAAGTGCTTCCTGAACCATCTTCTTGAGTGTCCAGGGCTGAGGTTGCTTCCAAGAGAAGGTTCTGAGATGCTAACCCCTGGCCGGGGGTTGG